TTTCACAAATGCTCGGTGAACGCTCTACCGCTGAGCCACGTCTCAGCCCCGGAGGAGTTCGTTACTTTTCTCATATTTGTAAGGAAATTGCTGACAGAAACAGCCGAAGAGAGGAAGGGTTTATCTGGGTTTCCCGGCTTACAGGGACACAGTCTGTCGTAGAGGGGGAGGTGTGGAAGCCGGGATGCTCGCTAGCTAGCCACAACGGCAGGAGCTCTCTAAATAGCTTGCCACATCTTCCAACAATCAGGAAGCTATGGAGAGGTTGGAGCCAGAAGCCAGCGGAGCCAGGCAATAACCCTCGAGGACCACCTGTCTCCATCCTGCTTCCTCCAGCTGACGGCCACCGCCAATGTTCCTGTAACCTTATATGACCATGAGGTAGAAAAGTTAAATACGACATATGGTGAAGTGACTAACCTAGGCCATTATGGAAAGGAAGTAATACATTGGTGTGTGTGTGTAAGAGGGGTGTGTGTGCGTGACAGAGTCCCACCCTGCAGCCCAGCATAGCCTCAAACTCAATATGTAGCCCAAATGGCCTTGAACTCATAGCAATCCTCCTGTCTCAGTGTCTCAAGTATTATGATTACAGGCATGAACCACCATGCTCAGCTTTTTTGTTCTTTGGGGGAGATGTAAAGTGTGTGTGTGTGTGTGTGTGTGTGTGTGTGTGTGTGTGTGTGTGTGTGTGGTGTGTTCATGTTCGTGTGTGGGTACCAGGGTGGAGGCCAGAGGCTCAGATGTCCTCTTAGTCAGTCACTCTATCTTATGTTTTGAGACAGGGTCTGGCACTGAAGCTGGGACTCTCTGACTGAGCTAGGCTGGCCAGCAAACCCCGGGGAACCTCCCATCCCTTCCTCCCCGGTGCTGGGGTTACAGGCACGCACTGCCACGCCAGCCTTCTGCCTGCTCTCTGGGGATCTAAATCTGTATTCTCATGCTTTTGCAGCAAGAATCTTGCCCTTTGGGCCTTCTCCCCGGCGCCATCACCCCATTCTGAATCCAACAGAGTCACGGAGGAACAGCTGAGGAGGTCATAGTTTGGAGGCATCCTGAAGGACTTACAAAGAAGAAATCTGCGGGACCCCATGGAGAGGAAACACCAGTTACAAAGCTGCAGACTCATAAAGTTATATAGCTTTCCAACACGATGTCCAAGTTGCTGGGCTGTAGGCCCCTGGGAAGGTGGATCTGGCCACATGGGTCTGGTCTATAATGAGGGTGTGTGAATTTATCCTTCGTGCATTTGGTCAAATGATGATGTATTTTCTCATTAAACAGCTAAAGTTCCACCCCAAACACTTAGGGTAGTGAGCCTGGGCAAACGCTGCTTCCCTCCACTTCCATCCTATGCAGGTGTCAGCTCCCCCTTTGCTCAATGAGGATAGTAGGGACTACTCTGGGAACCAGTGAAAAGGGTCTAGGACAGACCACTGTCTTCTTCTTCTCCAAAGGAGTGTGTGTGTGTGTATTCGTGTGCATGGGCAATTTACCTGCATATAAACATATACATATACATATGCACTACATGTATACTTGGTGCCTTGGAAACCAGAAGAGAGTGTTTAGTCCCCTGGAACTTGAGTAAAAGGCAGTTGTGAGCAGCCATGTGGGTGCTTAGCATAAAACTCAGGTCCTCTGGAAGAGCAGCAATTGTTCTTAATAGCTGAGCTATCTCTCCAGGCCCCAGAAAACATTTTCTGAAAAGACAGTGACGATGTTAGACTTGGCAGACCACATTGTTCCTGTGGTACCTTCTAAACGCTCGTTGCATTTATTGACAGCTTGTGACAGCCATTGACACACACAACACAAACAAGCTCAAGTAAAACTATTCATGAAGACAGGCTTCGGGTCAGATATGGCAGGTGGCAGGATTTTACCTACCTCTGCTTCAGATAAAAAGAACTCTCGCTTGCCCCAAAGTTCTTAGGCATTGAAAGCTCTCTGGTAATATCAGGGCTTCCCTTCATCTGAGCTCCAGGGACTAAGAAGAATACAGAGAATCTGCTCAGCTGAGTGAGAACTACTTTGCTCAAGAGCCAAGCATTTTAGTAATCAATCAGTCAGTCAGTCAGAGAGATGCCTTCTTAAGCACATGGTGATGCTACCCCAGAGCACTTGGGGGCTGGCTCCTCACCAAGAGCACGTGGGTGGGTGAGAAACCCCCTCTTCCCTGCTGCCTGGGTCCCAGTCTCAGTTTTACACAGTTTCAGCTGTGTTTAATCCTTGAGAGTCACATTTTCCATTTGTCAATCTGAGTAATGAGGAAATTCTGCTAAGTGGCAGTATCTGTGTGTGCACCAGCAAGTGTCTGAGCCAGGGATTCTAGGAGACATCTAGAAGGACACCATGGACAAGAGGATTACCCTTAGGGTCAGCCTGGCTGTAGAGGGAGGGTAACCCACATGGTGACCAATGAGTAGATAAGAAGGGACAGGAAGTGGAGGCCCTGAGATAGAAATGGAGGAGACAGTTGAGTGCAGACTCTAGGTATTTTTTGCTGTTGTTACAAGAAGGGGATGTGTGGAGGCCCACAAAGGTTTCCTAGTGAGATCTGAATTTGCTTTACCCAGGAGGGCTGCATTAGAGGATTACTAGGTGATTGGAAGGGTGTACACTTGGCTGTGCTGGGGGGAGGTCTTTTGCTCTACCCCTTGGCATTCCTATAAAAGGCCCTTCAGAAGAGACAGAAGGGGCCAGTGGATAAGGACCCAAGCCCTTCTGAGGCTATTCTGTGTTTCTATCTGTCTCTCTCCCTCTATATTTCTGTCTAAATCTCTTTTCCCTCATTCCCTAAGAGTACTCTGGGGGAAAAGTGGGAGCTGGTTTCCCACAGGGATGATCCAGTGTGTGGTGAGATCAGAGGAGGTGATAGATAGGTCGGAGTCGGCAGGGGCTGAACCAGAAGTGAGTCAGTGGGCTGGGGGTTGCCACTAGGCAATCTCCACCAGACAAGCTGGCCAGTGCATGCCCCTGAGGGTTCTGGGACTCAGCTGATAGCATCGCCATCATCAAGTCTCAAGGACCTGGCGGAGTGTTCTGGAGAGTGCCAGGTGGACCAGAGAGAGCGAGCTCAAGGGTTAAGAATGCTTGCTGCTCTGAGCAGTGGTGGCGCATGCCTTTTTTTTTTTTTTTTTTTTCTTCGAGACAGGGTTTCTCTGTGTAGCTTTGCACCTTTCCTGGAACTCACTTTGGAGACCAGGCTGGCCTCGAACTCACAGAGATCCGCCTGGCTCTGCCTCCCGAGTGCTGGGATTAAAGGCGTGCGCCACCACCGCCCGGCCGGTGGCGCACGCCTTTAATCCCAGCACTCGGGAGGCAGAGACAGGGGGATCTCTGTGAGTCCGAGGCCAGCCTGGTCTATAGAGTGAATTCCAGGACACTCAATGGCTGTTACTTAAAGGAAACCCTGTCTCAAAAAGAACAAAAAACAAGGAGTGCTTGCTGCTTTTCCAAGGACCCAAGTTTGGTTCTTACACATTGGGAAGCTTACAGCCACCTGTAACTCCAGTTCCAGAAGATCCAAAGTCCTCTTCTGGTCTCTGTGGACAACCACACACATGGCATACACACACACACACACACACACACACACAGAGTTTTTAAAAGAACACCAGGAATTAATCCAGACACCCAACATTTGGTAGGCAGGGCCGAGGGGATCTCCAGTTGAAGATCAACCTGCCCTACATAGCAAGACAGTATACATTTATTATCTTGATGTAGTAACACATTTGGCAGAGGCAACCTAAGGGACAATTTTTATTTGGCTTACAGTTTCAGGGTACGCAGTCCATGATGGTCAAAAAGGTGTGTGGCTAGGGCAGCTCCATCTGCGGCAGCAGCAGCTTGTGGCATGGCTTGTTCACGTCTTGGAGGGTCAAGAAGCAGACAGATTCACCTGGAACCAGAGGTGGCTATCCCCTTGGAGGCCCACCTCCAATGACACACTTTTACTGGTGAGACCACAGTGTCAAAGGTTACACCACATCTCAGAGTAGCACCAGCATCTGGGAACCAAGTACTAAGACATATGAGCTTATGGGGGGACAGATACTTCATATTCACAAAAATGGGACAGAAACTAGAAATTAGAGATTTGGGTGTGGAAGGCTCCTGATTTGTTTACTATTAAAAACCTTTCAAATCTTTTTGAGATTATAATATAATTACATTTCTGCTCCCTTCCCTTTCCTCCCTCCAAACCCTCCCATATGCCCTGCCCCATTCTCCTTCAAATTCACAGCCCCCTTTTTTATTATTATTGCATGCATATATGTGTATTGTGTATATGTACATATATATATTTCTAAATATAACCCGTTCCGTCTATATAATGTTACCTGTATGGATGTTTTGAGGGCTGACCTTTGACACTGGACAATCAATCTGTGTTCTCTTCCCTGGGAAGCCCCACCTCTCCCACTCCCAGCTTTCCTTAGTGGCCTATAGTTCTTTATGTATGCTAAGGCCTCAAGAACTGCTCCCCAACCAGTTTGTCCTGTTCATTGGTATCATCCTTGTTCAGCTCATGTTTATGCAGTCATGTTGGTGAGGCTTTATGGGTGTAGATTCTGATAGTACCAGGAGACAGTCTCACAGCAAACTCCCTGTTCCTCTGACTCTTACAAACTCCCTGCCCCTCTTCCACAGTGTCCCCTGAGCCGTAGGGCCGGGAGGTGTTTTGTGGATGTGTCCACTGGGACTGAGCTCCCCAACTCTGCATTTTGATTGGTTGTGGACTTTGTAATTAAAATCATGCCAGTCAAAAAAACCACAGCTGGCCAGATACTATTGTGTGGAACTACCAATTTCAGGAAGGGTTTCTAAGCCCACTCCAGGGTCCTGCAAAGCCCACTCTGGGGTCCTGTTCTGCCAAAAAACGGCCTCCTACAGCATTTGGTCAATTTCCGATTCACCTGGCACTATGGCTATCAGTTACACAGAGGTCCTCAGGAAGATTTGAATTTCAGCCAAAACATACTTTCTCAGTATAAGTATATTAAATAGTTTTATTTATTAAATAAATATATTCCAATGATCATACAAGACATACTTTTTATCCTCCAAAAATTGTTTAGCTTTACATGAAAGTCAATTCAAACATATCTAGGCATCTTGCATTTCTAGTATTGTTAGTGTTATTGGGGAGGACTGATACCACAGCACACATATGGAGAGCAGAGGACAACTCCGTGGTGTTGACTCTCTCCCTCTGCCTTTCTGTGGGTTCCAGGGATCAAACTCACAGCTCGCACAGCAGGCTCTTTTCCCACGGAGCCATCTCACGGCTTCATCTTGCTTTTTTTATTGATTGAATCTGGTGCTCCTCTCTAGATCCCCAACCGGGCTCCAATGGGCTGCTGGCTCCTCTCAAGGTGGCAGGGTCCCCCTTCAGGGACACAGATTATTGCGCGGTACAGAGGCCAAAGGAATGAAGAAGACAGCTCACATCTCTGAACATCCACCGGGTGTGTCCAACCTTTTGACATTACACCACCATGTCGTCATCTACCAAGTTAAGACTCCAGAACCACCCAAGCAGCCTGGGAAGATAGCTCAGGGTACAGCTCTTCCCCTGCATGGGGGAGACTTGATCTCAGGTCCCCCAGAACCAGAGCTCTTCCCGTGCATGGGGGGAGACTTGATCTCAGGTCCCCCAGAACCAGAGCTCTTCCCGTGCATGCGGGGAGACTTGATCTCAGGTCCCCCAGAACCAGAGCTCTTCCCGTGCATGGGGGGAAGACTTGATTTCAGGTCCCCCAGAACCAGAGCTCTTCCCGTGCATGGGGGGAAGACTTGATTTCAGGTCCCCCAGAACCCACACAAAAGCAAGGTGCTATAGTGGGCATCTTGTAATCCCAGTTCTCCTATAACAAGATGGTAAAGAAAACAGGAGACTTTCCAGAAGTTCATGAGCTAGCGAGCCTGGGTACACAGCAGCAAACAAGAAACTCTGTCCCAAACAAAGTGGAAGACAAGGACTAACACCCCAGGTCTTCCTCCAACCTCCACACACATACACATAGCATGCACACATACACACATCTGTGAGCGTGCGCGCACGCGCGCGTGCGCGCACACACACACACGCGCGCTGCGCGCGCGCGCGCGCACACACACACACCATATCATGCACACAAAGATGAAAAAAGAACCTCATAACTGAGTCAACAGAATCACAAAAATAGAATAAATTACATAGTCTTTTAAGTAAATGTTAGAGTTTTGTGTTGGGCTGCATTCCTAACTATCTTCAGCGGCCTGCAGCCCTCTGGCCTTGGGTTAGAACTACTTGAAATCATGGCTGTAGCTCTCAGAGACTGGTCACACCGTCCCTGATGTCTAAGGATGGAGCCATTCTGCAGTCATCTCAGCCACTTCCTGCTTGTAGCTTCTTTGTCTCTCTGAGTCTCCATTTCTTCATCCCCTGAACGGACACAGGGTTGCCTCAAATGCCGCAGGGCAGCTGGGTCACTGGGTGTGACTGATAATCCAGGGGAGCAGGCATCATCAGTGGGAGTGTGCAGGAAACCTGCCACTTGGGGTCCTCCATCTGGAAGGAATGGGTCAAGCCAGCAGGCTTCCCCAGACCTGTCTGTACCTGTAGGAAAACAGACAGGTACTCACTGCAACCTGTGACTGCGGATGCAGGGCAACATGATTTCCTCTGCCCAGCTGTTCTCATGCATATGGAGGCCAGGGGTCAGCCTCAAGTTTCTTTCTCAATCACTTTCCATCGGATGTTTTTGAGACCATGTCTCTAGCTCAGGGTTCAGCGATTCAGCCAGGTTGGTGGCCAGTGAAGCCCTGATATCTTCCTGTCTTCAGCTCCAGCACTAGGATTACAGGTACACACACCATTGCGCCCGACTTTGTACATGGATCGGAGGATCTGGCCTGCGGTCCTTACATTTGCATGACTGACATTTTGCCAACTGAGCCCTCTCCCCAGCCCCTTCTGTCTTTGAAGCAAGGAGAACTTGTCATCTGGTAGCTGCCTCCCAGGAAGGTACACCCCACCAGGAAGGCCACTGTGGGTCACTCAGTGACTAGAAAGGAGTGGGAGATCAGTAGGCTAGATCGGTCCTAGAGGAGGGAGAAGGGAATGCCCTACCCTAAGCAGGTCTGATATAGAGGTCACGGGCTCTCAGCCAGCTCTCTGCCCAAACAGGCTGGCATTGTAGCCACCTGGGCAGAAGGGAAGACATTCTGAAGATTCACTTGTGTCCCTCCGTTTGGCTATTAAGACTCTTTTTTTTTTTTTTTTTTTTTTTTTTTTGGTTTTTCGAGACAGGGTTTCTCTGTGTAGCTTTGCGCCTTTCCTGGATCTCGCTCTGTAGACCAGGCTGGCCTCGAACCCACAAAGATCCGCCTGCCTCTGCCTTCCAAGTGCTGGGATTAAAGGCGTGTGCCACCACCGCCCGGCTCCTACTAAGACTCTTTAAAGAGGCTCTCTGAGGAGTTGAAATTTACTCAGGAGTCTCATACTGGGAGAAGGAAAAGGCTGAAGGCCAGGTCCAGTCAGAGTGGGGAGCTTATGTCTCAGGAAGAGATTCCCTACAGTCCTCATGAGACCACCTTACAGCAGAGACTGGTCTGTGATGGGCCACACCACACCTTGACCGGGCCTGCTTAGCTGTGAATAACTCTGGCCCTCTGTTTAGACCTGAACCTGAAGACGGACTTGGGTTCATTCGGTCTCTTTGTTCCTCCTCCTAACATGGCCTCATTGGCTAAATCTCCTCTCTCTGCTTTTCACTTTGTTTTGCCTCTCTAAATTGGCCTACTGAGGAGAGCAGCCAAGCCTAGATTTGGGGGGTTGCCAGGACCCAGGCTTCACCCTTTCTAGCTCCAGTCTACAGGCCCTTTAACCACCTGCGTCTACAGAGCTGCAGTCCTCTGCCTGATGACGGAATTTATGACTTGTTTTTATGGTATTAGTTGGAACTGAACACATTCTGAAAAGAGCGTCAAATCCCGTCAAAGAGAGAAAGAGAAAACGCTAACACCCCCCCACCCCCCACCCCCCACCCCCAGCCACGTGGCCAGCATTATCCTCCTGAAAGCGCAAGCTCCTACAAGGTGCCTCAGGGTTAATTACCGCTGCAGAGGAAATCACACTGATCTGCATCAGCAGCCAGTGCCTGTCTGTCCTTCCTGCAGGAACCAATCTGGTGTAGCCTGCTAGCCCCACGGCTTCCAGATGGAGGACTTGGAGTTACAGGCTGCCTCCCCGCCCCCACTGATGACGTCTGCTCCACCGGGTCATTGATCACCCGCAGTGACTCAGCTGCCTTGAAGCACCTGTAACAATCCGATTACCCTGTTCTTCTGTACTGCACCCATCCGATACTGCCCGAGCCTCCCACCTTACCCTCCTGGGAGAGGCTGCAGCAAGCAGCAGCAGCAGCAGCAGCAGCAGCAGCAGGAGCAACAGCTGCTACGGCTGTGGTGGCTGCGGCATGGGGCCCTACTTGAGGCCTGGCATTCAGTGTGGCTCTTGGAAAAGTCCTGTTCGTGTACAGTGAACTCTCCAACCACTATGAAAGCCACCTTTCCTCCGTGTGCAACAAACAAAGACACTGCAGCCAAGTGCTCCACAAGCACCTCGGGGGACAGAGCGCACAGCGATGTCATCTGGCAAAACTGGAATGATTTCTGGAGGGGAGGAGTCGGGGCCTGGGAGATGGCTTAGCACATGAAGACACTTGCCGCCGCCGCCGCCGCCGGGGCTGGCAACCTGAGACCTGTCCTCAGGCCCCACGTGGTGGAAGGAGAAACCCACCTCTCAAAACTTGTCCCCCTACGGTCCATAGTCCCCTTCACCCCATCACAGATGTCCTGGTCAAGGGTTGACAGCCTCCTGTGATGAGACGGCAGGAGCCTCTGCCCAGGCAAGGCGAAGACATCCTGAAACAAGGACAAACTCCTGTCTTAGAACCTCAAGAGGTTCTGTGGCCCGGAACCAGGAGGTGCACAGAAACACAACACACCTGAAGACATTCAGGACGGAGGTCTTCGAATACCGAGAAAGCCCCCCTTTCCTGTGGGTGCTAACGGTCTCACTGCAAAACCTGCTCCGGTTCTGAGTTCGAATTCAGAAAGAGGGGCATCTTCCTTCCTGCCCTTCCGAAGCCTGCCTGGCCTCTCAACCTCCAGAAGAACCTCTCTCCCTCCCTCGACCCCGCCCTCCCCCCTCTCCGTGGCAGCTGCTTGTAGACGTCCATTGCTTAACCGGCTTGCTTTCCTGACCTCAAACTCAAAAAAACCACAACTTTCTCTTTTTCTTCTTCTCGAGGCAGCTGCTGGCCCTGCTGGGTTTCTGTCTATAATGCCGATAAAATTGTTTTTGAGATTTCTTTTGAATCCATTTTAAGTTCTTTTATCTGTGTGACTAAGAACCAAGAGGAAAACCTTGAGTTGCAAATCTGGTTGCAGAAGCAGTGACTCCGAGCATGCGGGAAGCTGGGTCACCTGTGAAAGGGCGGCGGCGGCGGCGGCGGCGGCGGCGGCGGCAGCGGACGGGAGGTGGGGGTCCTGCAACAACTGCCCCGGACAGAGACTGCATGGCCTTGGCCTCAGGCCTGAGGACTCTGTTCCCAGGTTGCACAGGGTTTGAGGGTTCCCTAGATGTTTGTACACCTGTGTGAGTACCAGAGCACTGGCTTGTTCCCACAAAGAAAAAGTCTGTAATCCACACATTGATATGCAAATAGTGTTTACTCAGGTGGGACACCTTGTGGGACAGGCCCTGGACGAGCCCCACTCTTTAGAAAGTCACTTTATGTCAACGGTCCCACTTCTCTGAGCCACTCAAACGGCTTTCAAGAGAACTTCTGGGCCTGAACCCCAGTACAACACACACACACACACACACACACACACACACACACACACACACACACACACACACACATGCTCACAAAATTAATTGGAAGCAAGGAAGAGGAACAGGAGAAGCAGGGGAAGGAGAGGGAAGGAATGAATTAGTTCAGGGCTCAATGTCTAGCTAGCATCACACAACAGAACACATACAGAATGGTAAGAAGAAAGTCCTGGGCTTGCCACAACCGGCCTGAAGAAATAAATCTTCCTCTAGAACATGGTTCTCCACCTTCCTAATGCTTCGACCCATTAATACAGTCCCTCGTGTTGTGGTGAGCCCAACCATAAGATTATTTCGTTGCTACTTCATAACTAATTTTGCTACTGTCGTGAGTTGTAATGTAAATATCTGATATGGATATCCGATGTGTGGCCCGGGGGAGGGGGTCATTCAATCCTCCAAAGGGGTCTGGACCTATAGGTTGAAAACCACTGCTCTAAGGACTGGAGAAGTGGCTGAGCTCCTTGAAGAGGATCAGAATTAGGTTCCCAGCACTCACATTAGGAGGCTCATAGCAACCTGTCACTCCAGCTCCAGAGGATCCAACATTTCTCCAAGGCACCTGCACTCACATGCACCCAGCACCCCCACACACATACACGAAATTTAAGATAATAAAAATAATTTTAAAAAACAAACCTTTCACTAAGTCAATTTAGCACAAACTATTATGTTTGCATTGGTAGGCACGAACTATTGTTGCCTTTTCATTTGCTTTTTGTTTTTCTTTTTTCAGGGCTGGAGAGGGAATGCAGGGCCTTGCAGATGCCAAGCAAGCACTTTACCACTGAGTACACTCCCCAGACCTTTTCCTAAAAGCTGAATTTCAACAAAAGGTCTCCCTAAGTCACCCAGGCAGAACACAGAATTTACAGATCCGCCTGAGTTGTTGAGATTACAGGCATGTGCCATCGGGTCGGGTACTGAGCCTTGCGTCTAGGCAGCACCTGTCTGGGAAGAGCCCCTTGGTACTTCATACTTGTGTACTAAGTACTTCCTGATGATGGATGACCAGCTGGATGAAGACACACTTCCTGTAGGAAAGACACTGAGCAGCCCTGCGTGCTCACGTGGCTTGGAAAGCCGTCAGCACTCTGCTGGTGCAGGCGACTTAGCTCAGCACTGCCCTTGGGCTTTGCTTAGAAACCTCCATTTGCTTTATCCCTCTGGACTTAGCAGAGCAGCTGCCTGGGGAAGGGTTCGGTGACCTCTGAGGTGGGAGGTAGATGGATGGGCAGAAGAGGAAAGTTCCCCCCTGGCTAAAGCAAGGCCTGGGAGCAAAGGTTACAGCCACAGGCTGAAGCACCTAGGGCAGGGACTCACAGGAGGAGGTCAGCCTTTGAAACACCCGGGTATGCAAAACAGTCGTGGATCTGCAAAGGAGTCTGGCAATGGACGTGGCATACCACGTGACCTGTTTGTGGGGATTGTTCTGGAAAATGAGAAAGACTGAGGACTCAGGAGGTGTCAGCAATGACTAACCTTGTCAGCTAAGGGGAGGGGAGGAGTTACCCAACTTGGCTTTGGAGTAGTCAGACCAGTACCCACGCCAAGTACTGTGGAGCCTGGCAGCTGCGTGGGATCAGGTCTTTTTTTTTTGGTCGAGTGCTCAGTGCTACACTAATTCCATTCACTGCCCAGCTAGTGACCACAAGAGCTTAAGGAGTTGACACACCATTGACTATGCTGTGACTTCAACAGCCATACCCAGGCTTCCCAGCATAGGGGATCCTGATACTCTACAATGTACTCCCAAGCCCCTCCCACAACCACCCAGCACCTGCTGACCAGTGCACTGGGCCAAAATGGAGCTCACTCCAAAGCTCCACAGCATGTCCTACCTGAGACATTACCAAAACATTCCAGTAGGAAAAAAACACAGAACAACTGCCTTTGACCATGACCCATGAAGGACATTGTAGCTTGTGCATGTGTGTTTGTGCTCATGAGGGCAGGTGCACATGTGTGCATACATGTATGTGTATGCCCGTTGAGGCCAGTGATCAACCTTGGATGTCATTCCTCGGTACCATCCACCTTGTGTTTTGAGACAGGCTGTGTGTGGTACGAATAGGGTTCGGTTCTAACAAAATCCACGAAAACATTGTGACTAAACTAGTATAAAAGGGGGGGGCTCTTTTTCTGCCCTATTACAAACACCATCAAACTCAAGAGCCAGCCAGCACAGCCTCCGGACACAGAAGCCGCTCCCATACGTGCAGCCAAGTGAAAATGCTTTTGGAGGAGACAGACATTTGAGATCTTTTGAAGAATTTCAAGCCTAAAAGATCAAGAAGCAAGGAGACATAAACACATCCAGAATTTTAAAGACTCAGGATGCAGCCAGGCTTGGTAGCAAACACCTTTAATCCCAGCACTCAGGAAGCAGAGGCAGGTGGATCTCTGAGATCGAGGACAGCCTGGTCTACAGAGCAAGTTCCAAGAACGCCAGGGCTACACAGAGAAACTCTGTCTCAAAAGAGAAGAAGGAGGAGGTGAAGAAGAGGAAGAGGAAGGAGGAGGAGGAGAAGGAAGAAAGAAAAGATTTAGTAATATCAAACTGGCTCATCTGACCAACTAGAGAATTACAGAAGCATCAATTGGTGGGTTGAATCCAACAAGGGGAGAAGTGTGAGGTGATGGGTGTGCAACCCATTACTCCATCAGTTCTCAGGGATATTATACCCTCTTCTGGTCTCTGTGGGTAATGCATACACACAGTGAACATATATATGCAGGCAAATGTAACACACAAAAACAAAAAAATAAATTAAAGAAGACATAAGCTGCGTCCATCAAACACCCATTTTCAAAGTGAAGCAGACACACTACCCTAAATGGAGGAACTGGACTCGAGTCCCACCACCCTGGACGCGTTTGGGACAAATTACAGAAAGGTGACAGGGTGTTGTGAGGCATAAACGATGTGACCCATGGGATAACAATGCTCAGCCCAGATGTTTGTGGAGAACGGTCTAATCTCCACACACACGGCACTTGTGCAAGAGACAGAGCTAGAAAGGCAGGAGAGACTGACAGAAGCCCCAGGATTAGACATGAAAGCTGGCAGCTTGCAGAGGAGCAGCGGAAGCCCTTCTTTGCCTGGACTTCTTCTAATAGAGCACACAAAAGAAAAGCCTGCAGCAAACAAACTTGGGAGAATTGGGTGTTAGGTAAATGATGTAAAAAGGGTCAGGGGTTACATGGCCCAGCATTTTCTGGGCTCCTTCAACTCATCATCCCACTTCCATTCTTTTCTTTTCCTTCTTTCTTTTCTTCCTTTCTCTCTACTTATTTATTTTAATATTTTTGAGGCAAGGTCTCACTGTGTAACTTCAGCTAGCCTGGAACTCACTATGTAGAGCAGGCTGGTCTTGAACTCACAGAAATCTGCCTACTTCTGCCTTTCTTAAAAAAAAATATTTTAAGATGTATTTGTTTTTATGTGCATGGGTGTTTTGCCTGCATGTCTGTGGACTAGCATGCAGTGCCAACAGAGGCCAGAAGAGGGCATCAGTCACCTTGCAACTAGAGTTTCAGGTGGTTGTGAGCTGCCATGTGAGTGCTGGGAACCAAACCCTTGTCCTCTAGGGAGCAGCCAGTGCTCTTAGCCACTGAGCCACCTCTCCTGCCCCTGCTTTTCTTTTTCATAAACTGTCTCTATTTCTGTTTCCAATCTTGTGTCCCTGGTGCAACCCTTTGCTCTTGGACACACAAGCCTGGAACTTGGTCCCTCTGAACTCAGGTCCGTGGCTCAGCACCCCTGAGCATGCTTCCCTGATGCTCAGGACAGTTTCTCTGACCTCCAAACTGCAAAGGCCTGACTCTCCATCTCCCCTCTCCTCTGGCCACTGCCGGGATTTTCTGTTTGTTTCCCCTCTTGTTTTTCTCTCAAACTTTAACAAAATTGTTCTGAGTCCATCTTCAAATCCTTAAAAAACAGTTTTTCATTACATTTTCAAATTCCCTTTATGTGCATGTGTGTGTGTGTGTGTATGTGGGCCCACATGTGGAGATCAGAAGACAACTTTTACCCTTTGGATCCTAGGGCTTGAAACTCAGGTTGTGAGGCTTGGAAGTCAGTGCCTTTACCCACTGGGTCACCTCACCAGCCCCCTCATCTCACCAGCCTTACAAAATCTTCTAAGAACCCCCAAAGAGAGAACCCCAACTTCCTGGTAACCGAGGAGCCTGCATGTCACTTGGCATCAGTGATAAACTGGTCAGTGAGAGCCAAGACCAGCCCTTCAATGAGTCACACAAGCCTTTGGGTTTGGATTCAAATACGTGAAGAATATGGAGGCCAGGCTGCTATGAAGCCTGCACCACTGTCTGGAGAGCTGCAGCAGAGGCAGGGTCTCTATGCAGCAGCAGACCCTGGCTGCAGGGGTCTCAGAAAACATAGACTCTTAGCAGGGCAGCCTGAGGCTGGGGAGAGGAAAAGAAGAAAGGCTGGTGAACATGGCCCTGACATCCTTGGAGGGTGAAGCTGTGGGGAAGCAGAAGACGAAACAGGCAGGGGGTGGTACGGAGCCTAAGCTGGGAGCTGGGAGTCCAGCCTCCAGGTCCTGGCTCCATTCTGTGGAGAAGACGACTCCTGCATCTTACAGACAAGAGGAACCTGGGCAAAGGGAAGCTGTCCCATGCAGAGAGCGCACCTGTCCGAACAAGGCCCTCACTGGGGCACCTGATGGGGAAGGGCCAGGAACCCAGGCTGACTTACCACAGTCCTCAGGCTGTGGCAGGGCCCAGAGTACCTCCCCGCTCTGAGTCAGGGAACGAGCATCCTCCACTCTTACCGGTGCTCCACCTCTACCCAAACAAGCCACGCTTTTCTCATTCCCACGCTCATGGGTCGAAAAGCAGGTGTGGTCCAGTGGGGGCAGGTTGACATCAGTGCAAAACACATTCCTGGCTCCTCCATTCCTATGACACGTGCAGTTTCTGAGACTGAGTTACTCCTGACCTCTTGGCCGGCCCGTTTACTCACCCACAAATCCCACTCCTTTACCAGACAACATTGTGGCCCTCCAGAAGTACCTCAAGAGGAGTCTGTAGGACCCTAGGAAGTCTGCCCTCCAGGGGCTTCAGGCACCCCTCTGCGAGAGGGCCCTCACATGGCATCCACTCATGTGGTCTACGCCTCCTGGTCCCATCTCCACCCCAGCTGCTTCCTGACATCCACACATTGATCCATTCTTCCAAAGGAGAGACACAGATGTTCTCTGTCCCCAGGATGTGAACCTATGACCTAAATCAGGCAAGATTCCGTCCCTCGTGGAACTTGCAAAGAAGAAACACTAGAAGAGAACAACCAAACCAACACAGCAGATCATGTTAGTTTGAAGCACTGTGGATATCAGCAAGAATGGGGGCAGGAGAAGCTGGCAGATATGGATGATGTGAGGACTACAGGAACAGCTCAGGGCTAGGCCGAGAGCCCATCGGGCAGCCATGATAGAGAGCCTGGGTTCCTGGTAGGAAGTGCCGTTCCAGCTCGCTGAACACTTGTCCACTGACCCAAGTGGGGGCAACTGTATCCTCTAGGAGTGGCCCGCGAGGGTTCTTCCTCTGAGCCCCAACTCTCTGATGAACAGCTCCCATATGTGGTGACAGGAACATGAGGCAGCTTGTTCACATCTTGGGAAATTAGGAAGTAGAGAACCTCTGGCTGCCTACATCTGCTAGTCCTTGTGTCCCAAAGGTCCCGAAAAACAGCACTTCCGGGAGGGACCAAGTGTGTAAATGCATGAACCTGGGGGACGTTTCACACCCAAACTGTGACAGCAACCCTGCCAAGCTAGGAAGAGAGGCCATGTCTGAGGAGACTCCAGAAGCTCGGTATGAACCTGTTCTCCTCAGGTAGCCTTCCCAACCCCTGTCACAGTGCCCAAGAGCCTTCAGGCCACGATGGTCACCGGCCAGCTCCTGACAATACCCCTGTGGACTGGGGTATTGCAGCAGGCACAGTCACGTCCCCTAGCTCTGGCTCCCAACCTGGCCACCTTGCACATTCTTCTTTCTAGAAATGTCCCTGCTCCCTCACATGGGACAAGCGCCAGACCACACTGAGGGCTGGACTCAGAAGTAGGCACCTCCCTTCCCTCCTGAGTGGCACAGCTCCCCATGCCTCCTAAGATGACAGATGACCCTGATTCACATTGGTGAAGTAATGGCTTTGGGTCTCAACCCTCTCACCCATTAGTCACGTCGCAACACAGCTCTGTGAGCGGAGAACTGGTTCCCAGGAGCCCCGAGAGTTGCAGCACCTCCCAGCTTACCAAACTCCTGGTCACACAATCTGTCCAGGTGCCCGGAACCACTCTGGCCCACTGCCACCAAAGGCTTGACAACTGAGGCCTGGGAAAGCCTGAAGGCAAAAGCTGAGAAGTAGGGCTAATTCCCAGGTGTCCTAGTGCTGTGTGACTCCGGACTTACCCTCTGTTCACTCCTACAACTAAACATTGCCTGTGATAAGGTGCTAGGAGAATCTCTCAATCTCTCTGTCCCCCTCTGGTATTGGGGGTCATCAACCCCTGCACATGCCAGGCAAGCACTCTACCACTGAGCAACATCCCAAGTCTTCTGAAGTGCAGAGTAAAGCAAATGAGAATATGGTCATGGAAGCTACAAAGTGCCATACACCCAGACATGGATCTGCCTAGCGGACAAACTGGTCATAAAGGAGGAACCTCCGAGGCTTTATCCACAACAGCCACCTCCTAACAGCATTTTCAGTCTATCAGCAAGCAAACCTCTGCTTCAAATTGTACAGCTTTCCACTGGGACACCGGGTAGTCACCACACATGAACGCACATCATTGTTCATCTCCTGCCCCCAAACCTGGCCTGGAGGAGAATTGGAATGCACCCTGCAGGGGGCTCTGACCTGGAGGAGAATTGGAATGCACCCTGCAGGAGGCTCTGACCTAGAGGAGAATTGGAATGCACCCTGCAGGGGGGGGCTCTGACCTGGCCCTCCAGCAGCAGGTCAGTGCCTAGCGGGGGGCCATGTCAACTTTTCTGATGCAGTTCTTTCCTGAGACAGTCTCACTTGTAGCTCAGACTAGCCTCAAATGTGTGATCCTCCTGCCTCAGCCTCCCAGTTGCTACAATTACAGGTGTGCCATACAACTTCCTTTTTCCAAAATCTACACAATGCAGAATGCCACTTGTGTGGTCAAAAAGAGCCTCTTGGATCGGTGGTTGTTTATACTCACCCACAGGCACACATTCTTGTTCCAGGTTTTGTGTGTGTGTGTGTGTGTGTGTGTGTGTGTGCATGCGTGCACACATGGGGGTATACATGTATATGTATATATGCATAGAGGAAAGCCAAAATACAATTTTGATTATCAATCCTCAAAAGCCACCTACCTACCGTTTTTGGTTTTGTTTTTTGAGACAGGGTCTCTCACTGGTCTGGAACTCACCAAGTAGATGAGGCTGGCTGGTGAGCACCAGGGATCCTCCTGACCCTACCTTCCCCAGTGCTGGGATTATAACTACACATCACCACACCCAGATTTTATTATATGGGTTCTAGGGAATTGAACTCAGGTCCTTTTACTTGTAAGGTTAAGCATTGTACTGACTAGCCCATATCCCATATCCCCCATCCTCCCCTGTCCCTGCGGTCACAATCATACATGGCCATGCCACCAGGTTCTCTCTGCCTTCCCAGGGCCCTGCTCAGAGCCCTCAGGTCATCTCTCACCACTATCTAAGAACAGAGACTTCCCTGGCCTTTGGACCTGCTACCCCATTTCCTCAGAACTTCTGCACCTGCTGTTCCTCCCCCGGAAGCTTGCTCCCAGGTCTGCCCACCTCATTCTTTCCTAAGCCTGTATCTGAAGTTATTCCCTTTACTCTTCCCCTCTGCTCTTTGTTGTAAGAGAGACTCTGTGTGTGTGTGTGTGTGTGTGTGTGTGTGTGTGTGTGTGTGTGTGTGTATGTGTGTGCTATATATATGTGTATATATATATATACATGTGTGTGTGTGTGTGCATACATATATATATGGTGGGTGCAAGTATAGTGCGTGCGTGTGTGTAAGTATGGCGTATATGCATGGTATATGTGCACTTGTATATAGGGTGCCTGTGTTCACCATTCATGCAGGAACCACAGGACACTGGTGTCCTGCTCTATCCACACTTTCCTCCCTTGAGACAGGGTCTCTCACTAGAACTAGACAGGCAGCCTGCCGACAAGCTCCAGTGATCCTTCTGTCCCAGCCCTCCACAGCAATACGGTTATAGACACACAGAATCACCCATGGCTTTCTACATGGGTACATGGGATTTGAACTCAGGCCTTCTTCCATGGCAAACACTCTCACCACTGAGCCATCTCCCCAGCCCAGTCTTATTCCTGTGTATCATCCTTAGGACACATGCTACTCTCCAAAATGATTGCACCATAATTTTACATCAACTGGGACTCCAGTGAGCACTGTAGTGGCAAGGTCATACACGACCCACTCATCAATGTGTTCTCCATGCTTGGAATAACGCCTGAGACAGGATGAGGCCCCCAGAAGGTCACTGTTAACCACCAGGAGCTTCAAGCAGACCAAGTAGGCCAGGGTACTGTGACATCCTCCATCGTCACCAATAGCCAATGTCAACACCGAGGGCCACAGGGCCCAGCAAGAGCTTCCGCCACTGCTTTCCAAAGCCTCTTGGTCCAGAGAAAGGAGATGTGTCTTTTCCACCTCTAGCCTCCTTCCCATACACCCTGCCCCTCCCTGCAGGGACTGGTGACTGGGCACAGTTGGCCCCAGCCCTCGGGACTCCAGAGCCTAGGGCGGGACAGTGCCTTCTCCCTCCCTTGGCCTCCCCACCAGGCCAGGCAAGCTTTCCAATTTCCTCATCTGAAAGACAGGGACAAAGACAGCCTTGTCACCCCACCTACTTCTCACGGTGTGAAGAAACAACTGTTTGCTCGGAAAACACTTTGAGCAACTTGGGGAAAGGTGCTTACGGCTTGGATGACGCCTGCTGCATTTGATTCAGGCCAGAGAAGGCCAGGCCAACCAGCCATACGGTTACCACTGCCCGCCCCAGGGAGGTGCACTCAGCTTCTCCTGAGTCACCAAGCCCATTGGCCCGGCTCTCATGCCAGAATCTGCCCATGAGCTATGCATGCATTCATGCTTTCAACAGAAGGCATGCTCTCCACAGCGTGACAGTGATCCCCAGATCGCCAGCCTTCTCTTTCATCAGGGGGGCGCGCTTCAGGCTGCCTGAGTGACCCGTCAGTGCTCCTGACATGCGTGAGGACCTACACTTCCATGCCAGGCTCTCCAGCAGGGATCTGTCAACAAAGGCACTTGCTCTTGGCAGCCAGCCTGGGACAGACAGATCTGACCCGCAGGTACACAGGTGCCCCTCACAGCCCCAAGGCTCAGAGCCAGTAGTAATGGGGGGAGCCAGCAGTAATGGCACTGGCCACCTCATTACTACATCATCCATACTCCGGCCCCAAGAAGAGCTGGCCCCAGCATGAACCACACATATCCCAGGGATACCTGGCACACGTCCAAGTCAAGAAGACAGGAGAACTGAGGCTCAGGCAGCAGAAGGGCTGATAAGCAATCTGCCCCTTGGTCCTTGGAACTGCTTCTAAATAAAAGTCACTCCTGGAGGTGCTGACACACAGTCAGCAGTCCTCTGAACTCCAGGGTAGGAAGGGCTGGCGATGAGCTCAGACTGTTACTAATTATATTTACTGTCAAATGAAAAGGAGGAGAGGGTCCTCTGACGACGACGAGTCAGGAAAACATCCTTTATTGTTTTGACAGTAAAAGAATGTCTCCTCATGGAGTCTGTGGCACGATCACCACCTGCCAGTGCGAAACCTGAGGTGTAGACAGCCACTGGTAAATGCTGGCCCGGTGTCCCTTCAAGTTGGTGCCTGAATTGCACATAAGCCACAATCAATAGGAAGTGTATTCCCCAACAGAGGGAACAGACTCTGGCCTCGGAGCCCAGCTGAGTACTGTGTCCTGCACAGGAATGGTAACTAGCATCTGCTGTCACCTTAATGGGAGGGGCAGCAACACAGTGGAGATTTTTCCCTCATCAAAGGAAATGTTCTCCGCCCCGATAAGTGAACTAAAAAGACTTCACCCCCAGCCTCTGTACTGCCAGACATGTTATTAATAACAACCCTTCAAAATGTCACAAATCACACACAAACACCTAGAAGCCCCAGATAGTCATCCACACGCAGACAAACGTGTCTGGGTCATGGAGAGGTGCTGTCCACTTGCAGGTCGACGGGGGGCTCTCACACACGTGAGGATGCCTATCTTTCTCTCTGTGTGTTTGGTACACACAGCTGTCTCAGGACCTCCACTGCCTCTTCCTCTGAGACCCATGGCCACACTGCCTCTCCACACATCCCCCCAGGAGGGGCATCCTGAGCCCAGCATCCAGAACAGCCCAGCATCCAGAACGGGCTTTTCAGTCTGGTTGAAGGCAGTCACACTTCCCTTGTTTATTCTTTTCTGGGAAGGCATTGCTGGCTTGGAAAAGGAAGAGGAGGGAGTTTTTAAAATTCTAGTTCATTTCCTGAGTGCTTTCAAATCATCAGAAGCTGTGGCCGGAGGACAGAGAGGTCCCGGGCAGAAACTGTGTGCCAAGTGGAAATAAGCGTTTGTCCCCCCACGCCTGCTCTGTGCAAGCCATCTGCAGGAAAGCTGACTTAGCAATCAGGCAGTACTGAGGGACTCAGATGGCAGTGTCTGTCCCTTCTCACCCAACCCCACCCCATCCTTTAAAAAAAAATGTTATTGTTGTTTTTCAAGGCAGAGTCTTGTTATATATAGCCCAGGCAGACCTTGAACTTCCAGGTTGGCCTCAAATTCAGGCTCTAGCCTGTTGCCTCAGTCTCAAGGGTGCTCGGAGTCTAGATGTGAACCATCACACCCAGTATAAATTGTTTGTTTTCCGAGACAGGGTTTCTCTGTGTAGCTCTGACTGTCTTGGAACTCGCTCTGTAGACCAGGCTGGCCTCGAATTCACAGAGATCTGCCTGTCTCTGCCTCCCAAGTGCTGGGATTAAAGGTGTGCACCACCACCTCCTGTCTCAAAAACATATTTTTTTAAGGCCAGTTTGGAATATGGGTTTGCCTGGGTGTTTGTTTTTGGACTGGATTATTAATTAAATCAAGTTAGTCAAGCCAAGTGTGATGCCAGACACCAGAGCTCAGTGAACTGAGGCAGGAGGACTGCCATGAGTTTGAGACCAGCCTGGGCTTCATAGCAAAACCACCCTTTCTCAGTATAGAAATCAGTATTCAGTACAGAGGTTCTTCAAAAGCTAAAATAGATCTGCCACGTGACCCAGCTCTTCCACTCCCAGACGATCTGCCCAAAGCGCTCCAAGCCAGCACACCCCATCAACGTTTGCTGTGCACTAGTCACAACTGGTAAGTTCCAGAACCCATGCAGATGTCCAACAACAGAGGAACAGATAAAGAAAACTTGGCTAATATACATGACAGAATTCTCCCTGGACATTATGTACATACAGTTCACAAGGAAGAGGAAAAGTTACATCATCTTCAGGAAAAGAGATGCAACTGGAGATAATCACATTAAGCAAATATATGTTTTGGCTTCTACACAGTTTCTAGATGTATACAGAAACATAACTGAGGCAGATTCTGTGAGAAACACGCTCAATATGCAATATGTATGTGTATAGACATGCTCTCGTGTGACACTACACCATGTACACAGTGAAATTTTTTTTAATTTAAAAATCAACCCATGAACAAATAAATCAGCTTATCAAAGAGAGAAAGCAGAATCAGACCCAGGGGTGGGATGAACAGACCCAGCCCAGAATCATGAGGGTCATCACACTTGCCACAGTGCTTTTCAGGTACATTGTTTTGCCCACTGTTCACAGCATCCCAGCTGTGAGAAGGGACACCACCAATCCAAGGATGCTCTCAATTCTAGCTCTCTCAATGGTCTGTGTCACCCATGGCCCACAGCTGGAATCCTTTGACCCCTGTCCATCGCCTGCCGACTACTGCCTGCTCCTTGGAAAGAACCTGTCTCCAAAAGCCTATACGATGTAGCACACACTTGGTAATCTTTTTGTTGTTTCATATGTGTGTGTGGTGTATGTGGACATGTGAACATATACATGCATGTGGAGGCCAGAAGTTGGTGCCAAGTGTCTTCCTCTATCACTCTCCATGCTTTTGCTTTTGTTTTTTTTTTTTTTTTTTAATTTGTCTGTTGTTTGTTTTTTGAGGCAGGGTCTCTCACTGAACCTGGAGCTTTCCAATCCAGCTAGGATAGCCATCCAGCCCCAGGTATCCTCATCTCTCTGCCTCCATGTTGGGATTATAAATGCACACAGTACCCAGCTTTTACATGAGTGCTGGGGACCGAACTCAGGTCGTCACACTTGTAGAGTGGCATTTTCCTGACAGACATCTCTCCCAGGCTGGCCTCAAATTCTTGATCTTCTGCCTCAGCCTCCTCTTGGATACTACGATTACAGTCATGTACCACCACATGACACATGATTCATTTTTAAACCAACACCACATGGCTCCACACAGAGTCTGGCTCTTGGACAGGGAAGCCATCTTCACATTTTCCACCAAGGCATAGTGTGGGTGGTCAGGAAGTTGATCTTGTCATGCACCAAGTTGTTGGGGAATATTATTTTTAGGTGTGTTACTTTTGTTTATGTTGCATTTGTTTCACTCCGTGAAGCTGTGTTACTGTGCCTATCTAAAACACCTGATGGTCTAATAAAGAACTGAACGGCCAACAGCAAGGCAGGAGAAAGGATGGGCGGGTGGAGAGAATATATAGGAGAACTATGGGAGAAAAGAAAAGAAAGAGCCAGAGAAGGAGAAGGACTCCAGGGGCCAGCCACTCAGCTCCACAGCAAGCCACAAAGTAAGAGTAAGATTGACAGAAGTAAGAGAACAGGAAAAGCCTTGAGGCCAAAGGTAGATGGGATAAGTTAAAAAAAGCTGGCTAGCAACAGCCCAAGTCAAGGCCAGGCATATAATTAAGAATACGCCTGAGTGTAATTTATTTGGGAGCTGGGTGGCGGGACCCCAAAAAGAGTAGAAAACAACCACCACCACCGAGTGTGGGGAGTTTGAGCCCCTTTGGCCAGAGAACATCTGGAACAAAGGGGGTGGGGTTTTTTGTTTGTTTTGTTTTTAAGATTTATTTATTTATTATGTATACAATGTTATGCCTGCATGTGTCCCTGCACACCAGAAGAGGGCACCAGATCTCATTACAGGTGGTTGTGAGCCACCATGTGGTTGCTTGGAATTGAACTCAGGGCCTCTGGAAGAGCAGCCAGTGCCTTTAACCGCTGAGTCATCTCTCAGCCCAAGAGGGTGGTCTTACGCTGGCAGCTCAGCAACTCAGGGGCAGAATTTGGGACTGGATTTATTTACCAGTGCTGACCTTAACTCCTGGATCCGACACAACAATCTAGCTTCCAGAGCAGCCATCCCAGTTCTGGCTCTGTGCTGACTGAGATTACACCGGGCCAAGGGCTTGGGGACCCGGCCACCAAGAAAACCTTCCTTTCTCCCTGCCTTCCCCTGCAACCCTCAGTACCCCCCACCTGCTGCTGGGAATGGCCATCCAGGGAGAATAATAGACAAGACACAAGAGAGAGACTGGAAAGAGGGTGGGGCTGTCTTCCACACTGACCGTTGACTATGCTACAGGCACCTTGCTGGACTTTGGGTTTTCATAGTTGGTCCTAAGCACAGGCATTTGAAATGTCTGCCTGCCTGCTGTGTTCTTCGAGTTGACTGCCATTGAAATTGCTAGAGGAGATCACAGGGCTTACCTGCCTCTAGTCTTCTAGGCCAAGAGAATGTCCAGCCTGCTAGTCTCAAAGCCCAGACCACTGACCTGGCTGTTCTTCCTGGCTTTTCAGTGCTTCCAAACGAGGGAGGAAATCGGGCCTCCACAATCCAGTCACTCTCTTTCAGCTCCTTGCTTCCTGATTCTGCAGGGTGGGGGTGTGAGACAGCAGGTACAGCCATATCTAGAAGATCTTGCAGTAGGTTGCCCTTAATGACATCCACTCTGTTTCTGGGTCACACGGGACAAATGATGACAGCTTGGTGCATCATACCTCTCTTTCCTGTTAGGGAGGCTCTTTGGAGATTTCCTAGGCCTGAGCTCCCGAGAGGCAGGCCCACTGTGGAGCGCAATGTCCAACACAGAAAATACATGGGGCCAGTTCAGAGGTGAAGGTGTAGCTTCCACTGGGGCAGCTCTCCAAAGGCTTTCTGACCAGTCTATCACATGACTCTTCCCTTGGAGTTACATTCTTACTGGCAAAGTTTAACAACAACAGTGACTTCTGGCCTTCTAAAATTGGCAGCGGGGAAATGAGCTGGAGAAGTCATGGGCGGGAACCACTCTGTGAAGACATTCTGTATCCTTCACATTTTCTGTTTGTTGTTGGCTGGTTTTGTTTTTTTCCTTTATCCCCTTTCCGGGCGTGCGTGTGCGTGTGCGGTTTTGTGTGTGTGTGTGTGTGTGTGTGCAGAAAATATTTTCCAGATACACTGTGCTGGCACTGCCAGGCACATGTTGATGCCAAGGTTATAAAAAGCAGCTGCGGAGAGGCTTGATGGAAAGGCTTGCCCCTATCGCACTTCCAAGATGCAAACTTACCTTTACGACCCTCGCTTTCTTCACCATGTACCTCAGAGGGACACGTGTGTGGCCAGGGTGCCATGTCCGCCTCTTACTCTTCTAAGTTTTCACATCGCAACGGTTTATGTGCCAGGCATCTGCGTGGCAGGTCCTTATCATCCCTGAAGTCCCCTGAATCCCCCGACTCAACTGGATGTGATGGCGCAGGCCTGCAATCCCAGCAGTTGGGAGGCGGAGGCAGGAGGGTCAAGAGTTCAAAACCATTCCCAGCTACAGAGCAAGTTCAAAGCCAGCCTAGGATATGGGAAATCCTGTCTCAAAAGTTCCTCCCCACCACACCCCCAAAAAGAATCTCTCTCACACACACGCGCACCAGAAACTGTTGAAAGACTCATGCTATAGATGCCTGGAAGGCTCAGAGGGGCAGAGTGAGGTTGGACTGCAATGGTGAGAACACATGGTGGTCCCCACGGGTCAGTTCCCCTACCAACCTCTCCCTTCCCGCCTCGTGTGTGTGTGTGTGTGTGTGTGTGTGTGTGTGTGTGTGTGTGTGTGTGTGTGTGTAAGTGAGCTCATCTGTGTGTGCATATGGGTGGAAGCCAGACACCGACTTCAGGGGTCCCCCTCTATTGCTCGCCACTTTGGGTTTGGTTTTGTTTTTTTAGATAGGGTCTCTCACTGAACCTAGACTTCATGGCTTCGGCTAAACTAGCTGGCCAGAGAGTTCTAAAGCTCTCTCTGTTTCCATGCCCCCACCCCAGCTCTGGGGTCATAGGCATGTGACCCACCTAGTCCAGCTTTTTATACGGGTCTGAACTCAGGTCCTTACACCAGCTTAGCAAGCACTTTACCTGCTGGGCCATCTCCCTAGTCACAAGAAGGACACTCTGCATGGAACCAGGACTCCCCAGTCCATAACATCCCCCAGGTGTCTTTCATTCCCATCCAGGGATCAGCTCCAGCTCCATATGGGGGTCTTGTCTCATCCTGTCCATCCCATACCATGGGGCATCCTACACCGAATGTACACACTGATGCTCCTCCTGGCCTGCAGTAGGAGCCTCCTCTCTCCCCTCCCCCAGCTTCATTCTAGCCTAATGAAGACAGTAGTAACCTGTACTGTGGCTCTCCTGGGGTGACTAATTGGTTAATCCTGGGAAGGCAGGCCCTTTGAAGATGAAACACCAGTGTTACTCATAGGCTGAAGGCATGCACCTGCCCCAGGCCAGGCCTGAGTCAGCAGAGAATGGCTTCCCACCTGCATACAGGCTGGGCCAGCCAGCCTAGGTCCTGCTCAAGGTCAAGGCTGTCTCACAGGAGAGCACAGCAGTACCAACCACGGGGATGGAGAGAGAGGTCTTGGTGGCCTGTGTGGGGTGGGCTGTTCTGAGCCTGAGAACTGAGCCCTATTGAAGTTTATGTGGTGCAGAAACCCTCGGGTCACACCGCCAAGAGGACAGCGCATGTGGCAAATCTTGGTCAAAACAGTACTTCCTGGTCATGGTTTGGGAGAAACATTTTTCCCACAGCAAATTCCTCATGAGCCACAGCCCATCTCTCTCCCCTACATCCTTAGCCCATGGCTGGTGAACTGGAAGGAGAGTGCTGTCAGCCTAAGGCTGGGGGAAAAGAGGTGGGCAGCTTGTGGATTTCCTTGACCTTCCCACAAGCTCTTAATGCAGGCAGAGGTGATGGCTGAAACAGGGTCCCACTATTAAAACCAGGCTGGCCCTTCACCTCACTGGGTAGCCCAAGCTAATCTTTCACAACTCACTTGTTTTAGCCTCCTGGGATGCCTGGCCATCCTATCTGTCTACGGGAGAATTAGAAACTAGCCAAGCATGGTGGTGGATGGTGATCATCCCTGCATTCCAGAGGTGGAGGCAGAAAAATCAGTTCAAGGATAGCCTAGGCTACATGAAACCCTGTCTCAAAAAAGAAACGGAAGGGGAGGGGAGGGGAGGGGAGGGGAGGGGAGGGAAGGGAAGGGGAGGGGAGGGAAGGGAAGGGGAGGGAAGGCGAGAAGGCAGGCCAGTAGGCCTGTTTAGAAATCAGAGGTCACAATGGAGAACGGAAGCGGGGAAGGACCCTGTGACCATGCCCTACACCACCCTTGCCCCTTCCAGGAGGATTTTGACACCACATCTGGAAGGCAAGAACAGACTGCCTTTAAGATGCAACCCAGGGTCAGATTCCACAGTAACGGAGCAGCAGGCCCCACATCCCGCCCTCCTGCACATTCCCGCAGAGTCCTCTCTCTCCTCTGTGCACCCCTACCCCCGCCTTTCCTCTGCGCTCTCCCCCTTGCATTTCCTTCTTCCCAAAAACAACCTCCAGGGCCTGAAGGGTTTCAGGAACTTCTCTTTTCTCTTCTAAAGCCACAAGGTCTTTAACTTTTTCTGCACATCTTCCCTCATGCCAAATGCTTGGGAGCCCAGAGACTCTGAAACACACAGAATGACAAAGCTTTAAAAACAAACAGCTGGATGTGGTGGCGCACACCTTTAATCCCAGCACTCAGGCAGCAGAGGCATGTGGATCTCTGTCGGTTCAAGGTCAGCCTGGTCTACACAGTGAGTTCCAGGGCCACATAGTGAGATTCTGCCCCCAAATTAAATTAAATTAAAAATAAAACAAAAATCCACAATAAACCAGGAGGGACTGGTAGGAGCCTGACGGCAGGAAAGGGGACAGAGGGTGGGTGACTGAAGGCTTGTATCAGGCCAAGGGGCGGGCACAGCAGTAGACTGAGCTGAGAAGCCTTCTGTTTGCTTTGGGTGACTGCGGAGGCGGAAGCAGCAGTTTGGAGCCAGCCGCCAGGACTGTCAAGAGAGAAGCCTCTTTTCCCAATTCTCACACTGCCATCAAGTGGCTCAGTGAGCCAGTGCAGGATGCCTGTGACAGCCTAAGGTACCTGGAGGGAGATAGGAGGTGGGGCTTTACTCAGAGACTCAAAAGCACCCCTCAGGAACAGAGGAGCAGCCTAGAGCATTGAGCTGTGTGGTAAATGCCAATCCCTAGCAGCATCTGCATCTTTCCGGGCATGTGCAGAGTGTCTATAGCAACTCGCCCCGTGAAAGGTGGGCACATCCTGTGGACTTCTTGCCATATGTGGAGACATCTCTGGAACCATCAGTACAAAAGTCCCTGTCTCAGCTGAGCATGGTGACAAACACCAATGATCTCAGTATGCAGAGGAATCTTTTATTTTTATTTTAAGGGTATTTTTTGAGTATTTTGCCTGCATGTATGTCTGTGCACCATGTTTGTGCCTGGTGCTCATGACAACAGAGAGAAGGAATCAGGCCCTCTGGAAGAGCAGCCAGCACTTTTAACTGCTGAGTCATCTCTCCATCCCCACAGGCAGGAAGATCTCAATCACAAGTTCAAGGCCAGCATGAACTATGTAACAACCCTGTCTCAGTAATGAAAGGGAAGGGACCAGAAGATAGCTCAGCAGGTAAATTTCCTGCTGCACAAGCATGAGGACCTGAGTTCAGGTCCCCAGCACCCATGTTAAGGGAGTGGCGGAGAGGGAGCTGGGTATGGCATGACCTGAACTCTAATCCCAGTGCTAAGGAGGCAGAGATAAGAGGGGCTCCCTGGGACACCAGTGTGACTGAATCAGTGATCTCCAGGTTTAGTGATGGACCTGATCTCAAAAACTAAGGTAGAAAGCAATACAAGATACCCAACTCAGAGCTCTGGCCTTTGTATCCACAAGTACACACATACATGTATACCTAACGCACACAATACACACCACACACACACAAAGCAATTTAGAATCCAGCCGTCCTACATTTGGGTAACTGGGGATAGGAATGAGGAGAAGGGAGGGGATGCCTAAAGATTCAAGCCCTGGTGCTCTCTGTCACTTTATCTCTAAGGAGATAGCTTCCCCTGAGGAAACAGAGAACAGGGCAAGATCCAGGAGATCCAAAGTCAGCTGCATGGCCTAACTATGTGACACCAATTGAGTAGGACTTCAAGCCTCATTCCCTATGGTAGGTAGCTTTAATCGTCAATTTGACACAACCTAGAATCACCTGGAAAGTCTCAGTGAGGGACTGTGAGCTGCCATGTGGATGCTGGGAATCGAACCTCGGTCCTCAGGAAGAGAAGCCAGTGCTCTTAACCATTGAGCCATCTCCCCAGCCCCTCAGTGAGGGACTGTGTACACTGGGTTGGCCTGTCAGTGGGAGACTGTCTTTAAGTAAGCTGATGCAGGAAGACCCAGCCCACTGTGGGTGGCACCATTCTTAGGCAGAGGGTCCTAAATGCTATACTATTAGAGAAATTCAGCTGAGTTCAAACAAGCAAGCAAGAGTATATACAGTTATTTCTTTCTGCTCTTGACTGTGGATGCTTAAGTGACTGGCTGTTTGAAGTTCCTGCTGTGGTTTCTCTCCAATGATGGGTTGTCCTGGGATCTGAAAACTTCCTCCTCACAGCAACAGAAACAACACTTCGATACTTCTTTTCCCAGACACCTGTCTACTTTCACGTTTGGCTTTTGTTTTTGTTTTTGCTTTGGTTTTTTTCAAGACAGGGTTTCTCTGTGTAGTTTTGGTGCCTGTCCTGGATCTCGCTCTGTAGACCAGGCTGGCCTCGAACTCAGAGAGATTCTCCTGGCTCTGCCTCCCAAGTGTTGGATTAAAGGTGTGCACCACCACCACCCAGCCACATTTGGCTTTTGAACAAAAGGCTCTATGATGGACAGTCACGTTTGGAGTGAGGGCCTCCTGTCATGCCTGCAGCCACAGCCAGCAACTCATGTTTGCACTTTGTAACTCCAGACCTCAGCCACTGTTGGCTGGACAGGAAGTGGACACCCCTACAAGAGCCCATTCAAATCTCCCTCCTACAAACCAAAACTGAGTCAAATTTGGTCACAGTCAGTCTCTGCTAGAGTCTAGAGCTGTGCATGTTAACCCAAGACCGAGGTAGCACAGAGGCAGCCAACTGCCACTGTGCACACCCATTCCCTGTCTCCCAGCACCGCCCCCTGGCACCTCTTTCCTGTGTCTTATTCACAAGGACCTCTTCTGTTATGGTTTTATTTCTCTGATATGGAGATCAGCCGGGGGCTTGAGCACATTGAGCAAGTGTTCTACCATTGAGCTACATCTCTAGCCCATGTGTGTGTTGTGTGTGTTTGTATGTGTATTCATGTGCAGAGGTGTACATGCAGGTGTAGGCCAAAGGATCACCTCAGTATTGTCCTGCAAATACTTTGTTCATTCGACAAGGTCTCCCATTGCCCTAGAGCTACAGGGGATCACACAGGCTGGCCAGCCAGCCCCAGAGAGCCACCTTTCTGGCTTTGGGGAGGGTGAAGGGGTTCAACTCACATTCTTATGCTCGAAAGGCAAACATTTTACCAAGTGAGCTATGTCCACATTCAGACGGTGGTCTCTCACTAGATTGCCTAGGCTGGCCTTTGAGTTTGCAAATCCTCCTGCCTCAGCCTCTGGAGCAGCTGAGAAGACAGGTTTGAACCACCACACCCAGCTTCCAAGGATAAGGAGTTAGTGACACCAGTCACAGCACTCATGACGCAAGATTTGCCTTGAGTTTGAGGCTGGGCTAGAAGCAGGTTCAGGTCAGCCTGGGCTATAGTGTGAAACTACACACACACACACACACACACACACACACACACACACACACACACACACACGCATGCACGTGGGCAAAGCCAGCAGTTTCTGGGCCTGGAAGCAGGTTCAGGTCAGCCTGGGCTATAGTTGAAACTACACACACACACACACACACACACACACACACACACACACACACACGCACGCACGCACGCATGCGCGCGCGCGGGCAAAGCCAGCAGTTTCTGGGCCTGGCCAGCCAGCCTTCAAGCCCTGCTCAGCCACCAACTACCACAAAGGTCATGACCCATGTTCCTGGTGCCCTGGGATTCTCAGCATTCCAGAGCGCTGCACACAATGGTAGTGTTTGTGGCAACTCACAGCATGCTGGGAAACTTAAATGTCCAAATGAATGATGTGGAAAGATGCGGAGAGAAGCCAAAGCCAAGAGGCAGAAGCAGGGTAAGGGCAGCCATCTGGAGCTCCGACATCCTTTAATAAAGGGTTACTCCCAAGCAGCACAAATGTCAAGAACTGTCAGAAGCTGAGATGTGTTAACAATGTGCAGACTCATGAAGTCTGCAGGGAAAGCTGGGTGTGGACTGTTGGTTTTATTCAGGAGCTCCCTATCAGTGGCTAGAGGATGTGAGCTGGTTGAAATGGCATCAGAAGATACATAAGCTCCAGTCTCACAGAGAGGAGTCCCTAGAAACCAAGTCCCCACACTGAAGGCCAGGCCCGTTTGAGTGCCCTGGGTGTCTTGATCCCTGAGGAACACTATCCTCCTAAGCCCTTCCTCTGTGGTGCTATGCTCACATTACTTGCATTGTGCTGGATTCAGGAAGCTGTGGCTTGGCCCCAGACCCTCCCTGCCTTCCATCTGCCTAACTCTGAGGTTTCATCTGCAATGGACCAGGGACCAGATACAGTCCCATTCCCTTGGATGGCAAGAAAGCAGCACCCAGGCTGGGGATGCAGCTCAGTAGGAGAGCATTTGCCTAGGACACACAAGCCTTGGTTAATGAGCCCGGAGTAGTCAAGGAGAGACAAGAGGACCAAAGTCCATGGCCATCCTCTTCCACATAGCAAGTTCAAGACCAGCCCAAGCTACAGAAGACCTTGTCTCAAAAAAAAATAGATAATACAGGAAGCTCCATTTTGTGGGTGAGGAAACTGAGTCCAAGAGGCAGATACCAAGCTTTTTCAATGAGTTTAGCTGACAGTGGGAATGGCCAGCTTGGCAGGGGGATGAGTCAAAGAGTAGTCCACCAGGATGGAGAGCCACTCTGCCTGCCCCTTCCATCTCCCCCACCCTCTTCATAACCTCTGTAGCCTGTGACAGCACTGTTTCCAGCTCCTTGTACCTTGAAGTACCACCAGGAAAAGGAGTGGATCTGCCCAGTGCCTGATGCCTCACGAGGTGGATCCTGGAGCTGGCTCTGCTTCACATGCTACCCCCACCCTCCATCTGTGTTCCTGCACTTCTATCTGCCCTAGCTCAGCCCTTCTGAGGACCCAGAGCTGGTGGACAGCTTCACCCCTATGCAGATGAGGCTGTCTCCTCAAACATCCTTGATTACTTCCTAGGCTACTCCCACCCCAGCCTTCACCCAGCAGCCTGCCTGGGTAACTGCAGGGCAGGGAACATGGAGAAGAAACCTTGAGACACCAACCTACTCCACTCCTCCATCATCCACAAACCAGCCCACTCCCTGCTCTCCTCTTCTTCCTGGCCGTTCTCAGACAGAAGTGGAAGGGCGGCCCTCCTGCCCAGTATAGCGGGGTCTGCTCACTTCCCCACACACCCTGCCTACCCTTCGGCAAATCACTCCATCCCCTTCTAAAACTTCAGCCCTTTGTCCCTTGTTAGAAGCTTCTCAGTACAGGGCCCTGCTCCTTAGCCAGACACTGACACACTGTGACAATGGCTTGCCAGCAGTATGACCTGCACCCAGTCCCAAGATGGAAAAATCTATCATCAACCTTTCAGAGTTCACTCATAGCCTGGAACCCAGCAAACACACAGCATCAGTAACCACCCTTCAGTCCCCAAGTCTGGCTCACCCCCTTAGCTCCCGATCATATTTCTGTACGGGCCCTGTTCTTGCTCAGCTGGAATTAGCTTTTATTCTGTCTCTGCGTTGGGAGACAGACCAACTGTCCGTGTGTCTGCTGCAATGTCCTGGGCATAGAAAGCTCTGTGAAGTATTGGCTGAATGAATAAAAAAGCAAATGATGCACCTAAATATGGACATCTACTATGTGTTTAGGTGTCCCTAGGGATGGTAAGAGGTGGGAAGGCCAGCACCCTGCAAGACCTACATGTAACACTAGATGGCACAAAAGCACACAAAAATTTGCTGCAGACTGGCAGGAAGGGCTTGTGTTTTCAGTGGAGGGTCTAAGAATGGCTGTCTGCAGGACACACTGTAATCACTAGGTTTTCCAGAGACAGACCCTGTGGGACATATGCTCATGCAGGTCCAGATCTGCAGTGTCCAAAAGTATGGCAAGGCCTTCTACATAGTACAGCCTTGCTTAGGGAGCCCTATCTTTTTCTCTATGCAGGCCTTCACTGGGTTGGATGTCATCCACCTACACTACACAGCAACCTGCTTCACTTAGCATTGGCCAACCCAATGAGAATCTTATGCAAGGCCATACCCGAAGGTGACACAACTAACTTTCACACCCACACTGGAGCTGAGAAGCCACATCTTGCATGGAGACCCACGTCTCCACCTTCCCCTCTCCTGGTAGCATAAGGTCAGGTGTGCAAAGCCTTGGTGTAAGCACTTCTCATCCTCCCAGTAGATTAGTGGCAGGTATCTTCCCCCTTTCCTCACAAATCACTCGTAAGGCAATGCAGAGACCCAAGTCTAAAGTGAATCTTTCTTATTTTATTGAGACAGTCTCACTGTATAGCCCAGGCTGGCCTCAAACTTAGGACAATTCTCCTGCCTCAGTTTCAGATAGGAATTATAGCTGCATACCATCACACTCATTAAGCAGAATTACAAAGGGTGCTATCCTGACCTGTGAAGATTCTGTACTCTGCAGACTTTCAACTATTTTAAAAATAGCTCTTCAAGGTTTGTGAATGAAGGTAAGGAGTTTAATTGGAGGTGAGGAAGTAGGTGTCAAGACTGCATTCCACTCTCCCAGCAAAACAGAGGTGTAGTTGCTGACAGGAAATAGCTAAGCAAATCTGCTGGTAGGAGTCAGATTTACATAGTGGTTTAAATTGGGGCTTCAACTTTTCCCACTGGCCAACCTGTTAACCCAAGAAATTTCTACATGATCTCAGGTACTGGGCCTACGAAACAGACAAATTAAACATTACTGGTAATAAATCATAAAGAGTATTTATTTTGAAACAAGGTGCCTATGAATGAGATGAATGTACTTTTACATTACATAATTTTGGGTGAGCATTTGATCCTGCGGGATGCAGAGTGCCTTCAGCATTTCAGAGCTGGTCTCAATATTTCAACTTTATAATCACTGATTCAGAGAACACTTTACACAAACATGGCATAACATGGAAGAAGTGTTTTTAGGGTCATTTCAAAAAGTGCTGGGAATTCTTCTGTTACCACCCACTCAAAAATTTTCAAACCATTTTTATGAAACTCACAAACTCTTGAAAAGCAAAGCCATGGAGGCAAATGCCTGTGATCATAGCACTTGGAAGTTACAGGATCTTGAGGGGGGAGAACACAGAGGCAGCTAGATCTCTGAGTTCCAGGCCAGCAAAGGCTACATAGTGAGATCCTGTTGTAAATAAACAGCCAGGCATGGAAGCCCACACCTGTAAACCCAGTACTCCACAGATGAAGACAAGAGGATCAAGGCCAGCCTAAGCTACATGAAAGTACTCTAAAAAATGAAGCAAAACAAAACCCCAGTTCCCTCCCAGTGAGTTTAATCTTGTCAATTTACCTTTCCTAATTCAAACCCTCAACCTTCCAGCCTCCACAGGGTCCAAAGCTGGCCTCAAACTCACAATCCTGCCCCAGCCACCCAGTGGTGTGCCCCCACTCCAGACTCTTCCTTGTCTATTAGTGACAGATAGTTTTGAGGGAGCTGTTCTACCATGACCATGTACTAACAAGTGCTGGTACAGTCTTAATCCCAAAGCTGGGTCCTAAAGCGGGCATAGTGACACATTCCAGAACCCCCAGTGCTTGGGAGGCTGAGGCAAGAGTCACATAGTGGAGACTGAAATGGGGTGTTAGGAAGAGGGTTACTCTGTCAGTGGAGCCCTAATTAACACAGGAAACAGAGGGCTTTTAGGATTGTGACAGCTGGTGACAGCATCACCAGCACAGGCTGTGCCTAGTCTCTGCAAGGCTTTATCACGCAGGTGTTAACTGTCACAGGTCACTAGAATACACAGGCTCAGCCTTGGAACTTCAAAGTCACACCCGAAACACAGAGGACTGCTACAGGTCAACGCAAAGCCTACAGGCCGTATACCTCAGTGAAGCCCAGCATGGCCCTGTCTTCACACCTGCACATGGAGGTCAGGGCCGCCACCACCACCCACACCAAGGCCTGTTGAACCATTCTCTAGGGTCAACTCACCTCCCAGTCCCCTTGCTTCTTGGCAAAAATTGACTCTTGGCAGCTTTTGCATGAAGCCTCACCATGCTGCCAAGCTCCTAATGTACTAATGGGCTTTAAAGGTTCATTTCACAATGCCTTCAACTGTATTTTTTAATTGTCTGCAGCGACACCCCCGCCCCCCACAGAGTAGACAAAGAGTAGTACCTGACTTGGATAAAGATAAGATTACAGGATTCTTGCCTTCCAAAACAGAAAAAGAAACTGCTTAGTGTAATTTTGTGCATAAACCCATCTAGTTGTACTATAGAGAAATTTTAGTATATTTAAAATCTTTAACATTTCAGAGGTGCTACTGAGTTATGCTCCAGACTTTCAGTGATGACTAATTATTGTCACTCCATAGTCAAGCTTTCCTACTGGTGGTTCCCACATCACCACTAATCATGGTCACTTTTACAGAGATTCCAGTCTGTCTACCATCACACTAGCAGTCAGACACCACCCCCACCCCAGCCAGACACTACTACACAGGATTCCTCACCTACTGTCATTAAGGCAGGGGTTCTTAACTTAGAATCTGAGATACTTTCCATGCTGGAAGTCAGGTAGTAAATAAATAGGCTTGTTTTTGTGGGGTGAGGGCCACAAAGCTCTTTCTCAAAGGGATATTAACCTATAAGGTTGGTATGCTTTCTAGGTAGTCACCAAAAATCAACAGCATTCAGTTCTGCAAATATACACCAAGCCAAATGTTCTCCAAACCCTTTAATACAGCTGAGGTACAAGCAATAAACACTTCTATTTTTTTTTTATGTTAGAAGAAAGATTTGTTGTCAGGACCATACACCAAATTCCCTACCATTTCTTCAGCAGCAATTCCATTATCAATACTCTGGTCCATAGGTTGATTCAAGGTCATAAAGGCAAGTCATAAAGGCAGGTGGACAATGGTATAAATACCAAACCTGCTGGAGATGAAAGGAACACAACACCTGGACTTTGCCTAAGTATGCACACTATATTAGGGCATTTACACCACCTTTCCAGGAATCTCCATTTAAAATGTTTTCAGTTAGGAAAAACAGTGGCACCCAGCAATACACCTTTGCCCGAGGCAGCATACCAACATGTTGTAACATGCACATTTTCGAATGCTCCTGGCAACCCTCAAGCTGTTTCTTTTTATACTACTTGAGTGTGAGTCTTGCCTTCTGACATCACTTACCAGCACCAAGGCTTCCTGGTTCCATCTATTTAACTTGGGGTGAGAAGAAATAGTGTTCAGCACTTGTTTATGTGTAGGGAAAGTAGTCCCTCCATAAACATAGCTAGTGTTCAAAAGCGGCAATGCTGAAGCCCCACATCAGTCACTTAAGAAAAGTCTTGACTTAATCGGTCTCAAAGTAAAGACAGCATCTCTACCCTCTCCACTGCCAGGAGCCAGGCCACCAGGTGCACACTGCAGAACCCCTCTCCAAGAGTGCCCTACCCCTCACTTCCCCACCTCCACTCCCCCTGTGGTCCTCTTAGCCACACCTGGGCTGATGCAGGACTTTCTGGGCAGTGCAGTCAATCTCTGGTCACCATTATGATACCTGGGACTGGAGATTCTACCAGCAACACTCAACCAGTGTATTTTTAGCATCACACCCCCAAACACATACCTATCTAGAAAGCACTGGTAAGGGTTCACCATCAAAGGCCTGGAAAGGGCCTATAGATAGATGCCTCAAATGTGTGCCTCCAGGTCTGGCATTCCACCAGAAAATACTAGAGGTGAGTTGTTCACAGCTGTTGTCCATACACTAACCAGAGGCAGAAGCTAGTAAAGCCTCATTCCAGAGTCTCCCTACTAAACTACCATCGAAACAAGCCCCTGGAAAAGGTGAGGCAAGTCAAAACAATTCTAGGGCATGGAGGCAGACAAGTTGCCCATGAGAATGCTGCTCGGTGAACAGATACCAGCACAGACCACAAGGTCTTCTTCACACTTATATCAGGACAGCCCATGTCACCAGGTGAGAGGCCGCTATCTGAGAAGAAGCGACTACTGCTTCAGTCAAGTCTCCAGTCAAGATGACACTCTATTGTCACTGTGTAAGATAAACTAGTCAATCCACAGGAAGATTGAAGATACACTGTTAAAAGCAAAAAGGGAATCAACACTTTCACAAGCAGACCATCACAACTGCCTTAAAGACAAGTTTCTGGTTAACTGACACAACAGTAACAAAATCACTTCACATCAGTAATAACTGACAAAGAAGTTATTTTACTTAGAGGTTTAATTGAGAAATACTAAGTCAGGTAAACATGCAAATTCAGAATATAAACAAGTGCAATGCCTGGTTGTTCTGAAATAATCATCAGCCATCAGCTGGAGACGGACCTAAAGACACTCAACAGAACCAATTAAACTCCACGCTAAACAGAGCCACCCAAGAGATGAGCAGATTGGATCTCTCAGTCTATAAAGAGCAGAGTGAGTGGACAGCAGGCAAGGCTCACCCAGGTCAAATCCTGGTGCTTTCTGCAGCCAGGTGCCTGAAATACTAGTGGTTAGTCCCCAGAGGACATTAAGCCACTAATGTAGACTGAAGCTTTTAGTAAACATGGGGAGGGAATGGGACTGCCAACAGCACAACAGCACACTTCACATGTCCAAAAGTAAACAGAAAGAAACAGTCTCTGAAAGATTTTAATGCTCAGTTTTCACAAACACAAGTTTCTATCCAATTTGATGACTTACAGTAAAATGTACTAGAGCTTTAAAAAAAATGGGCATTATTCAACTATCCTCCATAGTCTCTTCCAATGTTTTAAAATTCATCACTGTGAGTTTTTACCTAATATTCTACTGTATTTACATTTGAATTGCATGTCTTAAGAATAAACGAAATCCATGATATTTTGGTTAACTCAGTGTATTTATAAAATGAAAAGTTCTATCAAAATACTTTTCACTGGAAAAAATAAATAGAACAGACAATGGATCTACTCAAAGTACACATTCACTTTGGTAGACTTCAGTGTAGGACAGTTCATGACAAGCGTATTTGCCCTTATTCCCCAGAGCCGATCAGCTTCCAAGCTAATGGTTAAATCATTTTTAACTGAGATTTTATCGTGTTGATATCTGGCTCATTCCACATCATCTTCAGCCAAGCTCTGAGCACTTACAATTCTCTGAAAGAAAAAGAAAATTAATTTTGAGAAGTGTCTAATTTCAACTTAAACTGCTCTTCACATTCAAAGAACCAACTTTTGCTAAAATTCTCAGATTCTGACACAGATTCCACACTTCACACACTATCGTCTGAGAAGACAAAGATCAGCTGGGAATGGTGACATATACCTGAAATCTCAACACTAGGGATGCTGAGGAGGGGAAGGAGTGCTGGTGATGGTGTTGAGGGGTATGATCATACAAGCTTCAGTACCTTACCAAAACTCAAATGAATAAATGAAGTACATGACACAATGCTGTTTGTCAATTATATAATCTAAAGACTTTTCACCCCCACACAAACCAAGAACAGCAATGAGAATTCTTACCAAGCCTCCTTCTATGCTTCATAATTTCCCTTTCCAGCTCACAGCCATTACAGGAAGCAATACTGCATTACAAAATTAACACCCCCACAAAAACCTGCATATATAACTTATTAAAGACAAGGTAACAGAGTAATACAAGCTGTTGGAAGAATTTAGGTGCCAACCAGGCAAATCTATGACGTTCTTACAGTGCTGCTTCGGCCTGGCCTTGCTTTGTTCCCAACAGTCCCTGTACTGGACACTTAGGCACCAGTGTGGCAGTATTGAGAATCTGGGCTCTTAGGGCCTAGAGGACAGTGATGAGATCTGTAAGGTTCCACTCTCCAACTGGATCAGTTCCTGAACAAGCAGCTAAACACTGACTCCCAGCCTTCATTGCCCATTCCACACAGGTCTGGTTCCCCTTTCAATTTTGTGTCACAATGTGACAGTCGGGTGGCTCCTGGACAGATACAGCCACAACAGCCAAATGCTTAGTCTTCTCCATTCTCAGAACTGGCTGTGATCACAGCAACACAAAACAGACCGTGAGAGCTACTCCTTCAACAGCACCTAACAGTAACTGAGGTGTGGGCAGAATGGAACCATATCTATCTAACTTTAAAAGACTTAGCTCAAGTTCTTGGTTTTCTAAATCTTCCTCAAATCTTTGGGGGAATTTAATTTTCCCCCAGGCCTCTAGCTGAATTAAATGTGACTCAATGGTAAAGCCTTTGCCTAACTTGAGTAAGACACAAGTTACTAAAAAATTTTATGAAAATTTCCTTCCCCTCACCACTTTGCTAATTTTTATCCATATCAAACTGAAAATCAGCACATGCAATACCTGTTCTGAGATTCATTTTGGACTCCTTAGAAAGGATCCGTATGAACAGAATCCACTATATTGAATATTTACCCAATTTGTACCTACTGTTTTGAGATAAAATCTCACTAAACAGCCCTGACTCAGCCCTCCCCCAGAGTACAGGGATTACAGGCATGTGCTACCATACTCAACTATATTAATCATTAATACGTGCACTTTGCACTTCTGAGTAGAAATTTGGGGATATATACCAAATTAAAAGCCCACAGCAGCAGCCCAAAGAGGTACAGACAGTACCAAGAATGGGCACAGGGACACCAGGATGGTTCAGACTATGCAGTCTTGACTTCTGTATCCCCTGCTAAGTTAACTGAAACCCTGATATGATACCCTACAAGCATGTCCAGAGCCTTGAGGACAATGGACAAGGGCTCCAAAACGTACTGCATCCCCAGCAGGAGTACCCAAGTGGCCTAATTTAGGGACTCAAACATAAATAAAGGCCGTACACTCAACACCAAGCATGTACACTTATGATTCTAACCTAACAGAGGCCCAGACCTTATGTTAGTCACCTGCACAATGTATCATTAGGAAAACCACTTCCAGGTCTGGCACATTCAGTATTATATGCTCAGCAGACTTGCCCCTGAGCATATAGTTCTCAGATCAATTCACGTGTTACTCTCCAACACTTCAACTCCTTACCTGACTAATGGTTGGAAGCTTGGTCAGAAGCATCTGGAACACTGGTGGTGGAAGAGTTTGCTGTAACACTTGCAGCAGCTGCTGAGGCTGTCCACACACAGCAATTGCATTTGTCAGGTGGTCCACACCCTTCTCGTATTCACCTGCAAGATTGCACATAATATCTGAAGCCATCAAAATTTAGTCATCAACCAATCCTAGCCTAAATCACTGGCAAGTAAAAAATTGATACCGAATTTCCTTGTACCCATGGAATGAACATATTTTACCAACTGACTTCTGTGGATGGACTGAGGCACCAGCACCTAGTGCTTTCAAAGCCTCCCAAGCACGGTCAGAAATAGCTGTCTCAGCTCTTGTGGGAATTATGGTTATCCCACCTGTACAAATCAGGACACCACCTGACTGTGTTGCCCACTGTCACCTGGGTATGTGCAGCCATCACTCTGACTCTGCACGACCAGTTCCTTTCCTAGGGTACTGAGATGTAATGATGCCACCAGGAGACCCTGCCCAGGGACAGGCCCTGAGAAAATGTGATGCAGAGCTGAAGGTGACAGAATGACTGGCTCGCTTACTCAGTCCCTACTCCAGCAGACACCAGGCCTCTTCTGAACCAACACTGGCAATAATTTTTCTGTTTAACCAGCAGTGCTCATGCTGCAGCTGGCTAGACCAGAGGAACTTACTCATTCCAGGCTGAAGCACCACCCTAGTGCTAGGAACACACAGTACCTGGGCCTCTTTAGGGCACCTTGGGAAATCTATTTTTCTGTACTTAAGATTTGATTACTCACATTGTTCTTAATCTAGGTAAAGTTTGGAAACTAGTTAAGTTTGCTAGTTATTTGAATACAAGAACTAGGCTACCTGACTCTTGGTGAAACTGACTGAAAACACTAAAACACAAAACTACTCCTCTTAAGAAGTAAGTTGGAGCCAGTGAGGTGGCTCTGCAGATATAACGCAAGCCTGGATACCTTAGTTCAATCCCCAGACTCACGTAAGGGTGGAAGATAACTGTTTCCAAGTTTTCCTCTAACCGCCACACCCACACATGGAATTCATGTACACATCCCACATTTTAAAACTTTAAGGGTAAAGTGGATCACTACCATAAACTTTCCTCATAAAACAAATGGAACACAAATATACATTATGCATGAAGTTCAACTCTATCTGAATCCAATATAAAATCTGAAACATGACACCAATTTTATTAATGATAGCAACAACTTCAAAAATACTTTTGCAATAAAAGCTAAAAAACAATCTCCCTAGGAACCATTTTATTGTATAGAACAAAATGTTACCCAAGTCTGGAACAAAAAATACCTATTAAGATGTTTAATAGCTGGGTGTGGTGGTGAATGCCTTTAATCCTAGCACTAGGGAGGCAGAGATAGGCTGGTCTACAAATTGAGTTCCAGAACAGCCAGGGTTATTACACAGAGAAACCCTGTCTCAAAAAATTCAAAAAAGATATATAAGGAGAAAAAATAAAACCAAACAATAAAACAAAACCATCTTTCAATACAGGTAAGTAAATAAATAAGGCCCAAAGTAATTAAGTATCTAAATTCTGGACCACAGAACTGATCAGATCTGAAACAAGATGCTAAATACACCTGGTATGATGGCTACTCTAGCTGTCTTGACTACATGTAAAAGTCAACTGAAATCCTAGCAGCTAGGCACATCTGAGTTATTTTTTTTTTTTTCGTTTTTCGAGACAGGGTTTCTCTGTGTAGCTTTGCGCCTTTCCTGGGACTCGCTTGGTAGCCCAGGCTGGCCTCGAACTCACAGAGATCCACCTGGCTCTGCCTCCCGAGTGCTGGGATTAAAGGCGTGCGCCACCACCGCCCGGCCCTGAGTTATTTTTTTAATAATTTATTTTTATTTTATGTGCATTAGTGTATGTATGTCTGTGTGAGGGTGTCGGGTACCCTAGAACTGGAGTTACAGAGAGCTGTGAACTGCCATGTGGGTGCTGGGAATTGAACCCGGGTCCTCTGGAAGAACAGTCAGTGCTCTTAACTGCTGAGCCATCTCTCCATCCCCGAGTTACTTTTCTTGGTTAGACTATCTGAGGTTGGAAACCCACCCTAAACCCTGACCACACATCCTGGAGGCAGCCCAAAGACACGAAAGAAAACTATGCTTTTCTGTCTGCTTGCCCTCACTCTCACCAGAAAGTTCATCTACCCCAAGCCATTCCCTTTCAATGGTGTTAGAACACATTTCATGATTCCAATATAGACTGAAAACTGGCAGCTCTCTAGGACATCCCTGGGACTCTAACACTAGATCGGGACTGCTGGACAGTCTTGTGAACTGGAAAACTACCAGATCCTTGGCCTTTCTGTGAGGAGATGCCATTGTTGGCACTAGTCAGACCACAGCCCATAAACCACTCAGGTGTGTATGTTTATTTTATTGGTTCTGTTCCTTTTAGAACCCTGACTAATATTCCCTGTGACCCTGGTTAGGTAAATTAACTTTCTTTTGGACCAACACTGAGGAAAAAAACCTGATTAGCAGGTGAGTGTTGGCAAACCCGGCTCACATCACTTAAGTTACTATTTATACTGCACTATGGATACACACACAAACACACTCTAAGTGACTTTAGAGTCATCTCTGCAAAAATGAAGTTCTCTCCTAGTTTCACTCAACTATTATCTTCCATATCCTGTGACAGAGCAAGTAAGCCTAAAACTCACTTAAAATACAGTGCCAGACAATGTCACCCATGAGTCTGTCTTCTAGAACCAGCCTTAGTATGAAGTACTTAAAAACTCACCTTGAAATGTTTGAAATCTTTTGTCTAACAATAATTATGCAAGAAAGTCCTGTCATTATAAATTTTTATCAATATGAATAATTCATTCTACTTCTTTTTGAATCCTGAAATGACTATTACCTTGTGCTAATAACTCTTCACCAAGCTGTATCTCTTCAAGGAAGAATTTCTGAACAGCTTCAGCATCTTTTAAGTCAGGTAACTGGAAAAGGAATAAGAAGAAATTAAGCCACGAATATAATCAACACACAGAAAACCAACTAAAATTTAAAAATAGAGGCAGACAGTGAATCGGAGTTCAAAGCCAGCCTGGTCTTCAGTGTTCCAGGACAGCCAGGGCTACAGAGAGACCCTGTCTCAAAATACCCTCCCCCAAACAAAACAAAACACACACACACACACACACACACACACACACACACACACACACACACACACACCTCATTCTAAAAACAAAACCAGAGTCAAAAAAAGCTAGAGTACAAATATCTATATTGTCTATATATCTATAAAAATCTCCATTACCTATACATGTATCATCTATACAATGCTGTTTTAGCCATTATAGATAAACTATCATCCATTCACTTTTCTAATACTTCATACACATTTTCATGTGCACCCAGGACTTCTCTGTATTTGTTACACCTGTATATACATATATATATATTCAGAGGTATACAATTTTCTTGCTGGTAGAACTTGAGGTTGAACCTAGGGCCCCCCACATACTAGAAAAGCACTCTACTACTGAGCTATATTTCCAGTCCTCTTTTTATTTTGACAGGATCTTAACAGGCTGGCCATTAACCTTCAAACCTCTGACCTCAGAGGGATCACAGGTCCTTGTCAATGGGTCTGCCAAACTGAGTTTCAAATGGCAGAACATACCACTGAGAAATGACAGCATACTCATTGTGCATTTGTTGGTCATATCAGTTACTTCTAATTTTTTATGATAAACAACCATAAGCAACTGACAGGGAAATGATTACAGCTCACAATGCCCAGTTCTACCTGTTGAATTTTAAATAATATACCTCCCATCAGACTGTCACACTTACACACAGGTCTAAAGTTATCTATCTGTATCCCAGATCTTGGAAAGGTAGTTGGACATCTTAGAAAAACACAGCAGTTCCCAGCTTCAATTCACTAGAACTTGTCAGCTATGCTAATCACTCCAATGGTTTAAAATAATAATAAAAGTGTAACATTTATCAATCCCATTTTTCCTTGCCTGAATGAGCTTTTAAAAGAACAAGTAAGAGCCAGGTGGTGGTGGCACTGGGCTTTAATCCCAGCACTTGGGAGAAGGGGCAGGTGAACCTCTGTGAGTTCGAGGCCAGTCTGGTCTACAAAGCAAGTTCCAGGACAGCCAGAACTGTTACACAGAGAAACTCTGTTTTGAAAAATAAAAAAATAAAAGATTTAAATAAAAAAAGGGAACAATTAATGATTCAGTAATTGTTCTGCAAATCCAAAGGAACGTCAGCAAGGGGAAAGTGACATGTATAGTGACTAGCACTTGCCTAGTTTACTTACATATCACAGATTAGTTTTAATCAAGTATAGCTAAAAAAAGCCTATGTAGTCATTAAAAATTATGAACACAGGACCTATGGAAAGAAATGAAATAACTGACATTCTACAAGTTACGGTTTGTTTTTTAAAATCCATCAGAACCTAGACAATTCTGATCCATAGGTTTAAAAACTTTTAAAGAACTTTGAATTGAATACACAGGGTTCCTTTTGTTATTTAAGACAGTCCACTATGTTGCCCAGGCTGCCTCTGCCTGAGTTTCTCAAATACTAGGATTACAGGTGTGGATCTTTTAAAGGACACTAGAGGAAGGAAGGAAAATTCAACCCAATGCTGCATTTTAAACCATTATGAAGTAGCTGAGAACACTTTTACCTCTTGGTGTGCATATCTCTAGAGACCCTCACTCTGCTGCTAACCCAGTAAGACATTTGTTGTCATCACCAAAGGAAAATATAGCAGGCCTGGATAACCTACAGTCTAAGTTACTCTCTTACAAAAACACAGACCATTTTATTACCTTGGAAAGCCCAGCTCTCTCCTTAGCAAGCTTCTGTTTCTTTCTTCCTACAAGAAAAATAAAATAAAATTTCACTTGGCTATCATCAAAAGAATCAACACATCTAACTGCTTCAGCGATCATTAATTCTACAAAACATTCCTAACTCCAGAATCCCTGCCTCCCTGGTCCGTGGTGAGTGAACTGGCATTTCTGGATAGCAGCTTTCACTTTTCCTCTATATCACCAGGTCTAGCAATTCACAAGATAGAGACTGTCCCAACAGCTGCACCCCAGCAGAACAAAGTTCCCTTTCCAAGGTAAAAGAATTGTTTGTTGCTGAATTATACTAGATTCTAGCTTTACTATGCAGAATTATCCAGCATTCTTAAGCAACAAGGTTTTGTAAAAACAAAATATTTGACTTTGGTGGGTTTTTTTTTTTAAGACAAGTTCTGTATATCCAGGCTGGCCTGCATCTGTTACACAGCCAAGGCTCCTGACCTCTAGATCCTTCTGCTCCAGCTCCCAAGTTCAGGTATTACAGGCACGCAACAAGGTCCCAGTATTATATATATATATGTTTGACCAAAAAAGAAAAGGGGAAGAGGATGTACTCCAAAATGTATTCTGTTACAAACAGCTGGCTAGTTAAAAATGGCCTCACAGCTCTCTCTGGTATGCCCCATAAGAGCATTAGTGTATGTGGACCATCGACTTACAATAGAGTAAGGAACAGTACCTGGCCCTGTCAAAACTGATCTAATAATAGTATTTATATAATTATGGGGCCTCTAGTAGGCTTGTGGGTTAACAGATGCAAACATCTGGCAAGAGTACCTAGGTTCATATTCTGCCATTTTGGCATCCCACAGTTAAATATTTAATACCTAGAAAGTAACAATCACTCAATACTATGACTTTGGACAATAACAAGGTGGCCCAAGTGAAGGGCTCTCTCTCGGGGAAAATTGTAAGCAAGAAAATCTAACTTCAAAAAGTCTCTGAAAACCTTAAAGTACTCTATGAATCCAAGTCTAACCGCATGACTAAAGGACCTGTTGGTTACTCCTTAAAATGTAAGAACAGCTACTCAAGCACCCTAACTTCAGACCTCCTGTCCTCAGGGTGTACAGAGACACACCATTCAGATGAAAAGCACCTCTTAAAACAAAGGAAAACTGTGCAATACACAACAAAAAATATAATGTACTAAGCCATAATTGAGAAAATAACAAAATGAATCCCATTAGTTTTCCATAACCATCTAACTTATTAACAGTGCAAGGGCGTAGTTCATAAAAGTGTCTCTGTAATGAAGGGACGGATAGAAAAAAACCACAATGGAACAAGGTATACATTCAATCAGCAACATAAGGCCTTGTTTTTTATTTGTTGATATTAATCTCAAATGACATTTGTAAACCTTGGAGGTTTAAACAACTATGCCCACTTTAAAAAAAAAAGTAGCGGGCAGCAGTGGTGCACGCCTTTAATCCCTGCGCTTGGAAGGCAGAAGCATGCAGATCTCCTTGAGTTCAAGGCCAGCCTGGTCTACAGTTCGAGTTCTAGGACAACTAAGGCTACAGAGTGAAACCCTGTCTCAAAAAAACAAAACCCCATGTAAACCAAGCTTTGTGGCACACACCTTTAATCCCAGTACTCGAAGCAGAGAGATCTGAGTTCAAGGACAGCCAGGCTTAGAGAGTTGGTCTCAAAACCAAACAAACAAAAAACCGCGCAGAGCCTAAGCTCAGAACCACCCCAAATCCAAGCCATTATTTAAATATTTAAAAAAAAAACACCTATTTAATATATTCCTAAGTGGACTATCTTTCACAGAGCAGTTACATAAATGGAATGCACCTAAAGTGGGCACAGCAGCTATTTAGATACCCAAGATCAAGCCACTGGGGGAAAAGTGATGATCATCTGCTTACAGAAGCCAAAAGTCTGAATTAGGATATCTAATTTAAGCCCCTTTTCATTAAATAATAAAACAAAAATGAATTGAGAAACTATCCTTTTATTGCAGATGTAAATGATTTGAGTCAAACTACTTAATTCAATTCAAATGACTCAAATCCTTAAGAATCAACTATATAAATAGCTTTAAAGAGACTGTGAAATTATTCGTTACTTGCTAGCAAAAATTAAACAATAAATGAATCTAGCATTCATTAATACCATGGTCTGCGACGGTACTAAGGACCCCTAAGTGTAGATTCGTTTTGTCACAGTTGCAGTTAGTAATTCACTGAAGTCATTAGATTCTGGCTAAAGTTAGGAGGAAAACAACCCCACCAACAACAAACCGGATACAACAGAACATGATAGGTAGGGGCGGTGGTAGAAGACCTAGCCTGAAGAAAAGACCATGGAGTCCATCGCCAGAAGGGCAAAAAGGAAATGCTGGAAAGGTTATTTTGAAAAGAACACCGCTAGTAGGGCGTTGTGCCCCAAGTCTTTAATCCCACCACTCAAGAGGCAGAGGCAGTTTGATCTGAGTCCAAGGCCAGCCTGGTCTACATATTGAGTCCCAGTCTCAAAACAAAAACCAGCCGGGTGGTGGTGCACGCCTTTAATCCCAGCACTCAGGAGGCAGAGGCAGGCGGATCTTTGAGTTCAAGGCTAGCCTGGCCTACAGAGCGAGATCCAGGAAAGGAGCAAAGCTACACAGAGAAACCCTGTCTCGAAAAACAAAACAAAAACAAAAAAGCCCAACAACCCTAATTTTCCTGAAATGACAACTTATGATTTCTTCAACCCAAAACCATTTTCTCAAGATTTCCAGCAAGGCTGTCCAAAGGAATGAACCTGCTTAGCTATCTCCATGTGTGCAGACACAGAGCCCTGAGTAGACTGTACTTGTGTACTCAGTCACACTTCACAGCAGCATTTATGGAGGGGTCTTCCTTCGCAAATCAACTGTGGTGGACACTTGTCTCACCAAACAACAAGAGGCAACTTGTACTACCTTACTTCACAGTTAAGATAGATTAGAACTTGGAGTTGATGCTGTGGTCAGGAAACAATCTGGACCCGGAAATGCAGTCTGAAGCCAAGCAGCATTCTTTCCATTACTCTACCTAGCCACGGACAAAAACGAATTCTCTGTATCTCCCTACATGATGAAAATAATGGGCTACTAGGGGCACACAGGCTCAGGAAGGGACGGAACTCCTACAGTAGGCGGTAAAGGAAGTGCAATGTCCGATCACCTGTAACTACCCGAAAAGTTAAAAATGATTTAGGATGGCTTAACTAAAGAAGTTCGGTAGAATGGATAGTGACTCTTAAGCCACTGGCTGACCGCCCTACACAAGGCGCAAAAACGCTTATTACTATTCCAACAAATGTCCTTTTGGACTGTTGAAAAGAGTCCCTTGAAATGCAGGGGGGAAACACGCTGGTTAAAGGAGAGCCACGATTCCCCTCTGGTAAACCTCTTAGAAGATGTCGCAGGTATGAAATAAGACTGAACCACGTGAGGAGCGCAGCCCTTTGGACTCCCCCGCATTTCTCTAGCATTCACTCATATCTTGGAAGCACCAGAGCGAAGCCACCAAGAGGGTTTAAGAATGCAAGGATGACACCGCACTGAGTCTGCAGATTCAGGCTCTAGCTAAAACGCGTCAACACTTTCGGGGTAAGGATTGACACATGTAGGCGCCCATCTGTAAAGCCAGTCATGGGAGGCACCACGAGTTCGAAGCCATCCTACAAAATGCAGCAGCAAGACCGTGTCGCCTTTTTTTTTTTTGTAACAGTGAAGTAGGCAGAGACGGTTCATGCCTGTTATCACAGCACTCGAGAGGCTGAAGCAAGGGGCTGCCACGAGGTCGAGGCTAGCGTGGGCTACGGTCTATCAAGCCAGCCGGAACTACACAGAAAGACCCTATGGTAAACAGGCACACACCCCACAGAAGTTTAATGGCTGGGCGGGGTGGCTCATGCCCGTCGCCACAATATACCTGAAAGGCTAAGGCAGGAGGACTACCGTGACTTCCAGCCTACCCGGGACTAATCACTCGTCTTAAAAAGGAAAAAAAAATAAAATTATAGAGAGGTGGGAGGTAAAAAGTGCTACCCCTCCCGGGAGCCCAGCGTGCATTCCACCGCCGGCAAGATGGAGCCAAGCCGCCTCCAAGATGGAGGCCCGCGGGCACGGGCGGGACCCTGGCCGCAGCGCGCGACGCCAGGGAGGCCCCTTGGGGGCGCGGAGGCCCGAGGAGGGGCGGGAGGCGCGCGGGCCCACTCACGTTCTCGAAGCCTGTTCTTGAAGTTGGGGTCACTCCGCCTTTTGCGGTCAAAGTAGATGCAGTACCCGATGAAGAGGGCACCGCACACGCCCGCGGCGATGGCACTGTTCCGGCCCACCATCTTCGCTCGGCTGGGGCGTGCGCCGGGCCGCGGAGGCCCCGCCAAGCAGCGGTTAGCTCCGAGCGATCGGAGCACGCCGGCCGCTCGCCGCCTCCACTGCGGACGGAAAAGGCCGAGCACGAGCACTTCCGGTGCGCGAGGACCCCGGAGCGTCCGCGGCGGTGCCTGCGCGGGAGCGCCTGATGCGCACGCGCAGACGGCCCGGCCCGCGCGGCTGAGGCGCCATGCTGGGGGAGGGGCGTGCACTGCGGAAGGGTTCATGCGTCACCACGCGCTTATCCCCTCCTCTTCCCCCCCCCCCAGGCCTGCGGGGTGGTGGCAGCACGTGGTTGTCCTACGCTGAGTCAGAAGCCCGTATCCGCCATCCTTTCTTGTGAAAGACAAAGGTGACAGCCCGCTAGAACAGCACCTCACCTCACTGTGCCCTTGAGGAATAGTGACTTGAAGTGCCAGCCTTTGCTTTTTTACGTTTTTTGAGACAGGCTCTCCCTTTGTATCTTAGTCAGGCCTGGAACTTGCTGTGTAGTCTACCCTGGTCTCAAACCTGCAATCTTCCTGCTCCTAAGTAATGATGGTATTGCAGGCCTGGCTGCATTTGCTTTTTGAGTTGTGGCTGAACTTGGACACAGTAATTGATTCCAAAATAACTGTATGATGTGGCCCCGTCTTATGTTGTGGGGAAGAAAATTGGTGTAATTAATTAAAAAAAAAAATTAACCTGTGAGGGATGTAGAGAGGCAAAAAAAGTCTAGGGGTGGTTCCTATTTGTGCCTGTAGGCTGTCATTAAACTGTAACCTTAAGTGTAGCCATTCTCTGGCATTTTGAGTGAAATTAATTAGTAATGGAGAAAGCCCCAAACACTTAGGCCACCTATCTGTACTGAAGGGACCCACCTCTTCCTGGGGAGCTGAAGCAGAGCTGGGCATTATTGAATACCATAGAGCACTATTAAAGGCTGTTAGAATGGGTGTTGGTGTGGAGCTTTCCCTGAATGTTGTCAACATCTTTTTGGTGCTTTCTGTGAAGGAAGTGAAGCAACCCACATGCTTTAAACAGCCCCTGCTACCTGTAGGACATGCCCGAGCTGCTTGTTGGTGAAGACCTACTCCAGCTCCGGAAGGCACTGTTTCAAACGCTTGGGCTGATCTATTTGCCATCAAAAGCCATAGCGGACTCTGGATGGCTTTGCACCGAGGCTAGGGTGAGAAGCGCTTCCCTTAGTGTTCCAGGATTAGTGCAAAACACGAGGCTTCATTTGCATGAGGAGTTGTTATGACTGCTGCACGCACTCACTTCACCCCCTCTTCCTCCCCCACAACCAGGTTGTTCAGCTCAATTTCTAAAACGTGTGAATGTGCAGAGAAACCAGAACAGGTCAGCTGGCCTGTCACTATTCTTCTGAGGCAGGGACAGCCACCCCCTGAACTGGAGCTGGTGGTTTCTCTCATAAGCCAGCGCCCCCATTAAGTCTCCACTTGCCTGGCAGCTTTGGTTACAGGTCTGCACCAGACACTCCCAACTGATTTTTTTAAACTAGCAACTAGAGGGGTGGCAGTCAAGTGTCAACAGCTGCAACCATGCCACACCACCACCCTTCTGTGGCAGTAGCAGCAGGAAAGAAAGAGGAGGAGGAGGAGGAGGAGGAGGAGGAGGAGAGAGAGAGGGAGGGAGGGAGGGAGGGAGGGAGGGAGGGAGGGAGGGAGGGAGGGAGGGAGGGAGGATGGCAGAGAGCAGAAACTGAAGACAGAAAATTGTGAAGAGATGAAGATGAGAAACTGCTGCCTCTGGACATTGCAAGAGTTCCAGGAAACAGCCACACCTAACAGACAAGGATCTTGACCCCAGAGCTATAACACTGGCCACCCAGGATGAAGATCCCAAGGCCCTCCCAGGGGTGATAACATAAGCAGGTGTTGCAGCCATGGGCTGTTCTTAGAGCTAAGGATTTTACTAGCTGACCAGTGCTGGGTAGCTGGCAATCAGAACTCAGAGCTATCTGGTTTGCAAGGCCTGAAACCGTCAGGACTTGGAAGTATAAGCCTCTGGATCTGTAAACCCCAGCTAATAAGCTTTCAGCACGCAAGGACCCAGGACTACCAACCCTACAAAAGCTATTCCTTACCTACTTGATTTCCGTCTGAGCAAAGAATGCCAGCCAGTTCATCAGTAATGGTGAGCATTTGAAGGAAAGGCAGTCTGGTAGAACACTGCACCTTTCACTTAGAAAACTTGGTCTGAGTCGTTGGTATGCAAAGTTACTGCACAGATAATGCAGGAAGATGTTGCTGGAGGACCTAACCTAGCCTGGGAAAGCCCTGCTTTAAGAATGAACATGAGCCCTCCATCAGACCAGGAATTAGCCCTGAAGGCATGTGTACACTACGTGAAATGGGCTTGGGGAAAGGTAAGGGGTAAGGATATAGAAGAGCAGATAGAGCAGAACCAAGGATTCAGATAAGGTCCATACAACAGAGCAGCACACAGAGCTGCTTTCTTATACCCTGCATACATTGTGATCTTCCTCATCCCCAAAAGCTACCTGTGAACTTCAACTTCCTGAGCCATGGGTACACAGAACAGAAAATAGTTACTCAAAGCAACGGAGTTGACATGAGAGACCTTGAACACCTAACAGTGGGTAGTCTTTGTAGCCATGACTTAGGGATAAGCCAGATCAAGATACCCTTTTTTTATGTATAATAAATACAGTTGTTGAGATAGCAACATGTTAACACAAAAACATACCCACAAACTCCTGCAAGGGAAGCAGCCTGGGGGTGGGTATACACAAGTGTTTGGGAATGGAACCATCAATGGGTTCTGGGATGACTTAAAGGAGTGATAACCAGCATTTTTACTTTAATTTGTTGTGGTACTATGGATTAAATCAAGAGTGTCACACATGCTAGGTAGTGCTCTGCCTCATCAGTGGTATTTTTAATTGTCAGCAGCACATACAGCCATGTGAAATGTTCATGTTCGTCAAATGTATCCATAATTATTAGTTAATAATACAAAATTGAAAGTAATTCCATCAGACTCAAATTCCAACCTCTTACTTCATCTACGGAGGTATTCACAAGGGAGTTGGGAGATGCACTTGATGTTACAGTCACTGACTTGGGTCAGAAACATAAACATCCTTTAAATCCACGCAAGGGGCTTGTTACATGAAAGTCTAGGACAGGAACAAGCTATGCTGCAGTCACTTAGAACTGTCTACAGCGACAGACAGGTAAAGGGTAGGCAATAAAAGCTTCCTAATGCCTCTCATTGTAAGAATTCTTTAACTACTTGTAATTCTAGCAGAAAATATTTGAGGCCAAGTAAGGGAAAAAACTGTTCATGAGAAAAAAATGACTAATTCTCATGATTACAAAACACATACCCAGTATTTTTATTACAGTTAAAAGCCAACTTCTAACCACTGTTGACCACTCATACATAGTCTTGGGGCTGTAAGTATTTAATCAGATATAACATAAGACAAGAATTTTTCCAAGTTAAAAATAATTATACAGAGCATCTTAGGAAAATGTTCTACAAAATACTTTTTTATATTTTAAACATTAAGTAGTACACACATATTCTGCTTATGAAAGTAGAAATTTCAATAATTACACAGTAATAAATTCCAAAACATCTGGGCCAGTAGGATGGCTCAGTGAATAAAAGTGCATGCAGCCGGGCAGTGGTGGCGCATGCCTTTAATCCCAGCACTCGGGAGGCAGAGCCAGGCGGATCTCTGTGAGTTCGAGGCCAGCCTGGACTACCAAGTGAGTTCCAGGACAGGCGCAAAGCTACACAGAGAAACCCTGTCTCGAAAAACCAAAAAAAAAAAAAAAAAAGTGCATGCAGTGGAGAGAACTCCAGAGTCTCTGACCTCCACACGCAAATTGTGGAATGCATGCACCTGCATCCACATATGCACACACACACAATAATAAGTTAAATATATGTGTGTATATATATATGTGTATATATATATACACATATATATATAGTATTATCTGCATGCTTTAAGCTCACTCACAGGAGTCATAAGTATGCACATGACCACATCTGAACACACAACCTAATGTTGCATCTTTTATATAATTTAGGCAAAAATGCTCAAGAATGATCAAGTAACATTGCTGAGACTTAACTGAAAGGATTCTAAATACTGTAAGGGAAACAAAGCATAAAATATCCAGACTTGGATACAGGAAATAGAGCTTTCTCTGCTCTCGAAGAGCTACACTTTCATTTTTAATTGTATGTATATGTCTGTGTGTAGTTATATGCATGAGTGCAGGTGCCTGAGGCCAGAGGAGTTGGACCCAGGAGCTTAAGTTACAGGCAGTTGTGAACTACTTGCCATGGGTGCTAGGAATTGAACTCAGGTTCTGGAAGAGCAGTGCATGCTCTTAACCAAGAAGCCATCTCTCCAGCCTCTAGAGCTACGTTTTAAACACCCTGTTAGATTTTCTACATGGTATTTCCTAAAGACAGAAATTTCAAAACTAAATGAAAACTCATCCTGCGCTCTTGCCTAAGTGATAGGATGTGCTTTTACTACAGACTCTGCCTGCCTAAATCAGCTACCTTGGCTTACCCCTTCCTACAATTCTCCATCCTGGACCCAGCCTCAGCTTGGTGAGATCAATGTCATTAGCTATAACCAGGCCAAGCCCCTAGGGGACACAGCCCCTGTCAATCATCTTTAAAGTTTGTGATTTAATTACCATAATTCATTAGGAAATGTCTTTAAACTTTCTGGGGCAGCTATTTCATTCTGAGTAGCACTAATTTAAGGATCACATTTACTTGTGAGAGAATTTTCCCTATGAAACCATTTTTATAGCCAACCTGTCAAGGACATTAATGACCACTCTTGTTGCTGGCTATATACTAGAAGTCAGTCACACTTCTGGTGTTCTTATTGGTTAGCAATTAATTAGATGGACGGAATAAGATAGAAATGCAGATTTCTACTACAGGAGCAAGAGAAAGAAAAATGAGAGGTGAAGAATGGGTGTATATTATAGACAGCTCACAGTCTTTCTTAGGGACCATGACTACATTTGAAATCAGTATTCCCACAGTAACCACTTGAATACCTGGTCTAAGTACAACCAGTATTAATGTTTATTATTTTTCTGTAAATCCATTTCTAA